AATTAAGTTTAAGACTTTAATAGAAACTGTATGTCGTCTTAAATTAAAGACTTTATGTATCTAGTCAACGGCTTAGGACAAGGACAGATTCGTGAGATAATGGGGTTTCCGACATCATACCACAGCTGCGCCACTTGACCAAATAATAGAGAACTGGGTCTTACGTACAAAGCACGTTATATATTATTAAGAAACAAGACCGGAATAGTCAATAATAAAATAAATTTAATATATGATATATAAATTTTATTAAAATAATTATTAAATCGTTAATAGAGAAAATTATTAGGGATCCCAAATAATTAAAGACTAGCAAGAGAAAAAAGAAGGGTTTTGTGCAGAAAAAAACCCTCCAAAGAACTTATTTTTGTAAATTAATCCACAAACTAAAAAAATGCAGGTTAGTATCGCCAACTCAAAATCACCCGAAATATAACCTTCAACTATATATAGGCTTTGCAAACTGTATAACTCCGTATATAAATTATCAAAACTACATCGTTTTGAATAAGTATCAGTTTTGCTCTCATGAGGAGTATGCTTATATCATACGAAATTCTCAGAGAACCATGCAATATTCAAAATTGTAATTTTGATCATACTTTTTCTTTTGATGTGTAAGAAAAAAAAAAAAAACACATCAGTTTATGTCAAAACTGGCTTAATTAAAATTACAATCTCATTCATATCATTAAATTTAAACTAGGTTGCTTTCAGAACAAAACATAAAAATAACTCGATCGAATGAAATTATCCCACAAAACATTCAAAATTTAACATCTAACAAATAGAAATCATACTATCAGCTGCACTGTTCTTGATTTGTTCGACGGCAGATATGCTTAGCTTGTTGCATCAATGCGCTCTCTGGATCATATTTCACCCTCGTCATGTTATTCCCAGGAAGAGCACAAGCACCACTAAGTCCCAATGAAAACCCTCTATAACAACCCTCTGATCCGGTTGTAGAACACCCTCAATGTATGTGGACTCGCGGGTTGGCTCGCGAGTTTAGTTTAATCATTTTTAAAATTAACAAATGTACATTAGAAAATATAGAAATTATGACTTTTATAAATATTTTAATTTCATTTATTAAAATCTTTCTAATTTGCCACTTGTTTATAATATACTAGATATATATTGACCCGTGTGTTGCACGGGTTGCCGGTCGAGATTATCATTCTTAATATTTTTATTTTATTTTTGTAAGGTTAACTAAAATTCTATCCTTCATATCATTAAATTTAAACTAGGTTGCTTTCAGAACAAAACATAAAAATAACTCGATCGAATGAAATTATCCCACAAAACATTCAAAATTGAACATCTAACAAATAGAAATCATACTATCAGCTGCAAAGTTCTTGAGTTGTTCGACGGCGGATATGCTTAGCTTGCAATGCGCTTTTTGTATCATATTTCACCCTGCATGTCATGTTATTCCTAGGAAGAGCACGGCCACCATTAAGTCCCAATGAAAACCCTCAATCAAAACCCTCTGATCCGGTTGTTAGAACACCCTCAATGTATGTGGACCCGTGGGTTGGCTCACGAGTTTAGTTTAAGCATTTTGAAAATTAACAACTGTACATTAGGAAATAATCCTATAAATCATGAATTTTACAAATATTCTAATTTCATTTATTAAAATCTTTCTAATTTGCCACTTGTTTAATAAATTATACTTAATTAGCTGTTCAAAAATATTTATTTATAAATATAATTTTTTATTAATAAATAGTAGTCAGTTGGTTCACCAGATCGCGGACAAAAACTCATTAGATTCACGACTAATCGCATGTCAACCCGCAAAACCATTTATTAGTTGATTTAAAATCTATAGTCTATACCTGTTTTATAGGAGAAAATAGTCAAAATCTACCTAAACTATTTTTCGGATGTCTTTTCATACCCAAATTGCGCACCATGCATTTTCGAATCTGGATCAATAAAATTGTCAAATTACCAACTTGAACCATGTAATTGTTATCTAATTTTTACATTGACTTTAATGGTATTAGTAAACCATTAAACAACGCTGAGTGAGACGACATTTTGGCGACACCGTGACAACTTAAAGTGATTTTGACCTTCATGGTGTCAATAAACCGTTAAATGGTGATGAGTTTACTAACACCGTGAAAGTCGATGTAGAAATTGATTAACTGTTATATGGTTTAGATTGGTAATTTATAAATTTTGTTGTTTCAGGTTTATAATTGCATGGTACCAAAGTTTGGGTTGGAAAAAAACATCCGACAAATTGTTTGGATTGATTTTAGCCATTTATCCTCCTTTTGTAGCATAACGAATTGGACTCGACCCATGGGTTTTATCCCGTTTTGAAGCTCTAGATGACCGAGCATGTGGACGACTTTGTAAAAGAAAATGTCATATATTTAAGGGGTTAATACAGATCTTATTATTTTTTAGTAACATTTATGGATTTTGCAATTTTAGATCAAATTTACTGATATGCCATTTTTGAATACTTAAAATAGATATATTTATGATTTCTTTTTTGCTAAATTACATATTTTATAACAAAACTAAACTCTTAGAATAAATAGATCTGATTAAATCTAAATACAACAGATAAAATACATGAACTATATTTTTATATTTTGAAAAATGGTAAACTCATAAAATTTTAGTAAAAATGACAAAGTTCATAAATGTTACTAAAAAAAGTGACAAATTCATAATTGATTCTATATTTAATTTTCTTTAAACAAATTATATAATATTTTTTTTTACCGAAGTTGGGGAATAGACGAAAATTTAAAATCGTATTTATAAATCCTTTTATTTTTCGTGTCATCTATCTCTTTCTCATGGGTAAACATGTGTCTACACTTGGCACTTTCTCTTGTTATCTTTATCTTTAGTTTGAGTTGTCTAAGCTGTTTTAAAATTTTAATTAAAGTTGTAAATATTGGAGAAACATCACTTGTATTGTCCATGTTTTGGGCTTTTCTTTTTCATATTAGTGAAGATGGTCGACAAAAAAAAAGTTTCCTTTTCTAATACGGAAAAAGAATAGTAATAAGTTACGGTGACAAATAAAAAAAGAAAAAGAAGTTACAAAATAATAATTATATCATTTCATATTGCACACTCAAACAAAAGACATAATCTATATTAGTATTTTTGCAACACTTTAGTGACGGGTGGGTAAAAATGCTTTCGGGTTATTCGGATATCCGACCCGTTTCTAAATTTTAGTCATAAAAAATTTCTTGGGTCAGGTTATATTTAACCCAACTCATACACCGGATATTCCATATTTAATAATTTAGATATTTAGAAGATTTGATTAAGATTTAGAATTATGATTCTCCTATCATCTTTGTTTGATTTGTTTTTAACTGTTTTGAATCATCATATACTACATAAAGTAAAAAAAAAAAATCAATTTTTTTTCCTGCATATACTGTGATTCGAAATTTAAAAAACGGACATATATTATCCAGTTGACGAAAATATGTGTTCAACGTTCTACATCGATTAAAATATTTAAATAATAATTCAGAATCATATCATAAATAAGATCAATATTAATAAAATAAATGAGTTTTTTAGCCGGACAGGTTTTTGAATCAACAATAATAAAAAGATTAACATGTCCCTTCAATACGGATTAAATCCTTAATTTTTTTTTAATACCACCAATATTAGACATATCAAAGCATTCTTATTTAGAAAAGATTGTATAAAATCAAAAATTGTCCCGTGGTATAATGTTACTTAATAACAATTATAAACTATAAATATATAATTGTCTTTGAAAATGATACAATTTACAAACTTTTATCTATAATATATAATCGTTAAATTTTTAAAAATTACTACTAGAAAACAAATTACGGGACGGGTTAAGAAATTATAGGATGGGTTATATGGTGGACGAGTTTGAATCAACATTTATAAATTTTTTAAATATCATTAAAATGTCGCTTTAATACAGATTAAATCCTTAGTTTATTAAAATATAAATGTCTTAGAGAATGATACAATTTATAAACTTTATATATAATAAAAATTAATTAATCTTAAAATCACTACTTTTAGAAAACAAATTACGGGACGGGTTAAGAAATTATGGGACGGGTTATATTTCGGAACGGATTTATATGGCGAACGGATTTGAATCAATATTATAAAATTTAAAATATCATTAACATGCCGCTTTAATACGAGTTAAATCCTCAGTTTATTATTGTTCTGTGAATTCGTGATATACCGTTACTTGATAATAATTATTAACTATAAAACATAAATAATTTATAAGGAGATACAATTTATAAAATTTTATATATACTAACTTTAAAAAATAAATCCCGCGATGTACCGCGGGTTAAAATCTAGTCTTAATATTATAAATATAAAATTAACACTATTTTACTTCACGTAACTAAATTAATTTATTTCATTTTGATTTGGTTCCTTATTATCTCATTTGCTAGAGAGCCTTTTCTTGTGTTACCTTAAAAAACCAAAGAGTTCAAAACACAGAGCCGCATTAAATGTCCGCCGAACAACGTCACATATCTACTGCCTAGATTCTTGAACAAATCCTTCTTTGTGTCAGAATATATATCTAATGGAATTCCAAAATATTAATATAATCCTGTCAAACTAATGATGTCAGCCCAGAGAATATCTTACAAAATCTTTTAGACACAAGAGCTAGTCTAAGAACTCACTATTTCTTCTTCACTCTCGCTAAAACCTCCAAAATTTTCAACAATAGTTGAGTTATATTGATCTCCTAGTAAAAGGGCTACGCTTTCTCCAAGTAAGTTTCAATTTCTAATTTCAATTTATCTCCAAGTAAGTTTCAATTTCTAATTTCGTATGATTTGTTTTCCTTAAGGTATCAAATTTAATTTTGTGGACATGTGTTTGATACTTGCCTAGTTACGTTTTTGGTCAGAAATCTTTAAGGAACCTTGCAAATTGTGTAAAAGACAAAACCTTTTACTCGTGTCTTTGGTTTTTCAGGTTGTAGTAACTCAACGGTGTTGAAAAAGATGGATTTTGGTAGGTCTAGAGATATTATCAGCGGTTTACCAGAGTTTCTTATTTCCCACATCTTGTCTTTCCTTACCACCAAAGAAGCTGCTTCTACATCGGTTCTAGCAAGAAAATGGCGATATCTCTTTGCTTTTGTTCCTAATCTTGATTTCGATGACTCTGTCCATCTAAGTCTTGGAAAAAAGAATCCTGTTATTAGTGGTGAAGATTATTTGGAAATGATTAATGAAAGAAATAATCAGCTTTCTACAAGTTTTATGGCTTTTGTGGATCATGTGTTGGCATTGCAAGGCAATTCTCCTCTACACAAGTTCTCTCTAAAGTTCGGAGACGGTGTTGTTGATCGATTCCGTGTCATTCGTTGGATACTCAAGGTGTTGGAACGCGGAGTATCCGATCTTGAACTAGACATGCATTTGAAATGGAAATCTTCACTTCCTTCAAAGATCTTTTTGAGCGAGACACTCGTTAGGCTGAAACTAAGTGTGGATCGTGGCCCGAGAATTGATGTTGATGATGTTCATCTTCCTAAGCTTAAGACTCTCCATATTGAGTCAGTCAAATTTGAACAGCATGGTATTGGGCTTAACAAGCTTCTTTCTGGTTGTCACATACTTGAGGAGTTAATTCTGGAATATATATCTTGGTGCCTATGGGAATTTGTCTCTGTGTCTAGCACAACTCTCAAGAGACTAACGTTTTGCGGGGAACTAATGCAAGATGAGAATCCGATTAGTGTGTCTTTTGATACTCCGAATCTTGTCTACTTGATGTTTACTGATGTTATTGCGGACGAGTATTCAAAAGTGAACTTCGATTCGCTTGTTGAAGCCCATATCAATCTTCAGATGTCAGAAGATCAGATGGAAGAGGCACGGTTTTCAAATTCTGAAGGTAATCTGGTCGCTAATGCAACAGATTTTATAGTGGGAATATGCAATGTGAAGATCCTTTATCTAGCAGCTTATACTCTTGAGGTTTGTATTTCATTATTTACATCTTTCCCCTAGTCTCTTTAATTTATGCTACTTAGAAAATAAAGAAGAGAAACAACTTGTAATCTCTTAAACATTGCTTAAGGATTTAAGTTAATGATCTGCAAATGAATGGTGATGATCTAGTTGATATGGTTTTATTTCAGGTACTTACTTACTGTTGTGAAGCAATACCGCTATTCAACAACCTGACTCATTTAACTATAGAGAGTAACCCGGAAGTAGCATGGGATTCATTACCGGGCCTTCTCAAGAATTCTCCAAATCTGGAAACTCTCGTCTTCAAAGTATGAAACAAACCCTTTAAAAGCACCTGTTAACATATTTTTCAAAGTTTGAGATATATCCCACATTTCAGGGACTCGTCCACCAAGTTACGGATAAATGTGGAGATATGTGTTTATGCAAACCATGGGAGGAGGAGGAAGATGAGGAGGAAGAAGAGGAGGAGGTTCCTACTTGCTTACCATTGTGTCCAGTGAAAGTGCTGAAGATATTGGATTTTGGTGAAATCTATGATGACGAGATAGAGAAGAAGATAGACCAAGTCAAGCACTTTCTAGAGACGATGCCGTATGTTGAGCAACTGATATTACACTACAACACACCAATTGATGAGGATGTGATTGAAGTTTACCAGCAACTTCAGAGGCATCCTAAAGTAGCTTCATCCAAGTGCAAACTCCAACTAATCTCTGATAACCTCAGCTTGTCATCTCAAGACTGAGCTCTCTTCGGTATCGACGAAATGGGGTCCTCTTCTTTAGAAATATTTCTCAAGTGTTTTTTGAATTACTTATGGCTCTTTTACCATCTTGCGGTCAATAAATGTGTCTCGACTGCAAGTTTTGTATGGTTGCTTATATGATCTTAACTCTACACATGACTCTCTCTTATTCCTTTTGGCCGACAATGTTTAACTTCATGTTTTGTTTGTTTAAACTTATTTTGTTTTAAAGATGTGTATTTCAATGGGTTGGCTGATTTTTTTGCCATATTAACCCATGTTATCTCTTTTACAAGTTACTTCGAAAAGAACTTAACAAATGTTCTCTCTTTTACAAGAAAAATAATTGGATCTCGATTCCCTGATGGACAGTTAGTTACAGTCTTCGGGCAACAAGTTCAAAACAAACATGTTTATGGTTACCACAACGTTAACCTTAACTGACACGTATTAACCTTCGCACGTTACTACAGATCCAAGAGGATCAAATTGTTCTTTTGGGCTGACAATACTCTGTTTACTTGCAGGTGAAGAAGACCGTTGGACAATGGGCTTCTTTTGTTGAATTTATTAGGCCTGAGCAAATAAACCGAACCGAATGTATCGAACCGAAACCGAAGCAAAAAAAACTGAACCGAACTGAACCGAAAATTTTAAAATTAACCGAATGGATACTAAATTCTATAACCGAAATAACCGTAACCGAATCGATACCGAACCGAAATATTTCGGATAACCGAAATACCCGAAATACAATTATATTTTCAAAATAATTAGTTATTTATAGACCAAATAATCAAAAATACTTGAAAAATATATAAAAATAGTAAAAATATTCGAAAATAACCGAAATATATCCAAAAATATCCAAAAATACTCAAAAATAACCAAAATATCCGAAAATATCTTAAACAAAATAACCGAATGGATACTAAATTTTGAAACCGAAAGAACCGAAACCGAATAGACCCAACCGATAACCGAACGGTTAACCGAAATCCCAGGCAATTTATATTGCGTAGGCCCAATACCTGATTCTTGTCTTTGGTATCACTTATCCGAATCCGAACAATGACATTTTGATGCTTTGTGCTGGTTTTACGACTAAAACGATGTCGCATAGAGAAGCCTCTTTTTCCTGTTGGGGTCTTTTCAGACTATAAAATTCTATTAAAAAAAAAAAATTATTGTGGTAAGTCCTTTTCTGAAGTTGAAGAACTAGTTTTAGCTACACCACACTGATTTTTCTACTTGTCATCATTAATTTCCAATTTTCCTTTGTTCTTCGTTTTAAGCTACTCGAGACTTTGATTTTTCTACTGATCAACACTAATTTCCAATTTTCCTTTGTTCTTCGTTTGAAAATTTCTCTACATGATTGTGCTTTTGCGTCAGGAACGAGTTTAGTAGTCACAATCATGCTTATATGCTGTTTCTAGTCAATCTACGGTAAAACACGTAAGATTTTTATGGAGGGGAAGACTTTTCATCAAACAACTTCAAATCATCAAGTTGATGGAGCTTATATTTTCATTATGTATATATATATATGTGGTGATCTGCAACACTAATTTACCATCACTACTACATTACTTGCCTTCACAAATCACAAATATGAAAGCTTTCTTATTAAATCAGAAAATGAGTTTCCTCCTTCGTTTCATTTATTTTGTTTTCATCGTTTTAAGTTTTCTAAACACGTTTGTTTCTCCTACACAAGACCAATGTCATCCCGACCAAAGAGATTCTCTTCTTGAGTTCAAAAATGAGTTTGGGATTCAGAAGCCTGATTTTGGTGATTTAGAAGTCTCCTTTTATCCGAAGACAGAATCATGGGCGAATAAAAGTGACTGCTGTTCTTGGGATGGTATCACTTGTGATGCTAAGTCGGGCAACGTGATCGGACTAGATCTTAGTTCCAGCTGCCTTCATGGCCGGCTCAAATCCAACAGTAGTCTTTTTAGATTGCGTCATCTCCGTGATCTGAGCCTCGCTTACAACAACTTCACTGCTTCTCCAATCCCAGCTGATCTTGATAAACTCGTGGGGCTAGAAAACCTTAACCTCTCTTATTCTTCACTTTCAGGCCAAATTCCAACCAAGCTTCTTCAACTAACCAAGTTGGTGTCTCTAGATCTTTCTACTTCTTCCTTTTTATCCGTTGATGAATCATTTCTTCGACTACTAGCTCGAAACTTGGCGAACCTTAGAAAACTGGATATGAGCTACGTAAACATTTCTTCAAAACTCCCCCACGAGTTTTCAAACATGTGGTCTCTAAGATCGCTACGTCTTGCCAACTGCAACCTGTTTGGAGAATTTCCTAACAGTGTCCTTTTGATACCCAACTTAAAGGCCATTAGCTTGGACCACAATCCAAATCTGAGAGGCAATTTTCCCGCTTTTGGTGAAAATAACTCTCTGCGAATCTTAAGCTTTTTCGAAACATCCTTTACAGGTACCATACCTGACTCTATCACCAACCTCAAACATTTGACTTACTTGTCCCTTTCCAACTCTAATTTTTTGGGGAAGATTCCGTTTTCACTTGGGAATCTTTCTCATCTTTCCTATCTCGATCTTTCTTTTAACAACTTTGTTGGTGAAATACCCTCTTCACTTGGCAATCTAAAACAATTGACCGTTTTTGATGTTTGGAGTAACAAGCTCAGCGGTAACTTACCCTCTGAATTACTCAATTTAACTCAACTACGTTCTATGACTCTCTGTTATAATCAGTTGTCAGGTTTCCTTCCACCTAACATTAGCCAACACTCCAAACTAGAGGGTTTTTTCGCCCGTAAGAATTCGTTTTCAGGACACTTTCCTTCCTCCCTATTCAAGCTTCCCTCATTGACTGATATCTATTTGGATTATAACCAACTCAGCGATCTCGTTGGGATTGAGAATGTCTCTTTGTTGCCTAGTTTACAAACCTTTTATATTGGCAATAACAATTACAGAGTTAGTCCAATTGACTTAAATGTCTTCTCGCCCCTCAAGCAGCTAATTGGATTCTCTCTCTCAGGCATCCCTCTTTCATCAACAAACATCACTTCTGATTCAGATTTCCCATCGCATTTGGAAAGTTTGGACTTGTCACGCTGCAACATTACTGAGTTCCCTGAGTTCATAAGAAACCAAAGAAATCTACATTCTCTAGACATTTCCAACAACAAAATCAAAGGTCAAGTACCAGACTGGTTGTGGAAGCTACAAGAATTGTCATATTTGAATCTTTCAAGGAACTCTCTCAGCAGTTTCAAGGGATCTTTAAATGTTTCTACTGGGTGTCAAGTCTCTGTCGTAGATCTAAGTTCAAATACTTTCCAAGGACCTATCTTCATCCCATCAAGATTCATCCGATATTTGTTTGGCTCCAAGAATAACTTCACCGGAGAAATACCTCGATCAATATGTGGACTAGGTTCTCTACTCGTCCTTGATCTATCAAACAACAACCTCCATGGATCAGTTCCTCAGTGTTTAGGAGATCACATCCGTTCTCTTTCATATCTGAACCTTCATAACAATCACCTCAGTGGAAGTCTTCCTGATATATTTATGAACGCCAAGGATTTGAGGTCACTTGATGTCAGTCACAACCGCTTCGTAGGTAAACTCCCAATTTCTCTAAATGGTTGCCTAAACCTAGAAGTTCTGAACGTGGGAAGCAACAAAATCAACGATACTTTTCCATTCTGGTTAAGTTCTCTGCAAAAGCTACAAGTTCTTGTGCTCAGCTCAAATTTGTTCCATGGTGCGTTACATCAACCCAAAGTTAATTTTGGGTTTCCTCATCTACGGATCATTGATGCATCACATAATGACTTCACTGGAATGATAAGGTCAGATTACTTCATGAATTGGAGTGCCATGTACTCAAATGAAGACAACACGCGATTGAAGTACTTGGGAGATAACAGTTACTACTACGATTCAATTGTCTTGATGAGCAAAGGAATAGAAATGGAGATGGAACGTATCCTCACAATCTACACAGCCATTGATCTTTCTGGAAACAAAATCCATGGAAAGATTCCTGAATCTCTAGGTTTGCTGAAAGAACTTCATGTTCTCAATTTGTCAAGAAATGCTTTCACGGGCCACATTCCATCATCTTTCGCAAACCTTACGTCGCTTGAATCACTGGACTTATCAGAAAACAGGATTTCAGGAGAGATCCCTCCAAAGCTCGGGGACCTCTATTCCCTTGGGTGGATAAATGTTTCACATAATCAGCTTGTGGGTTCAATACCGCAAGGCACACAATTTCAACGGCAAAATTGCTCATCGTACGAGGGAAACCCCGGACTGTATGGTCCTTCTCTTAAGGATGTTTGTGGAGATATCCATGCGCCAACATCTCAACAATCCAGACTGCCAGATTCAGGAAAAGAAGAAGAAGAGGAATGGTTGAGTTGGGTAGCAGCAGGGTTAGGCTTAGCACCTGGATTTGTATTTGGATTGACGATTGGATACATAATAGCTTCATACAAACATGAGTGGATCATAAATAATTTTGGCCAAAACAAGCGCCGGGGAAACCGAGCTAGTTAGCTCATCGATCACACTCTAATAAGCACTGTTAATCTGTTCAATGAAGTTGTTGTGTTCATCATCATTATATTTTGTTGTATTGTAAGAATTATTATAACTAGATGTATAATAAGGGCTACATCAAGTTTTCTAGTATGAAATGATGAATTATTATAACTAGAACCTGGTTATCAACCTCATTATGTATAGTATATATGATGAATTTAGTTCTATGAAACCGGAACCAGAGATAAGTACCAAACTCTGGATTATCCATAGAAATATCGACGTCTCTCATGATTTTACCATATCATACATAACATAATGCAAATTCATACATATCTCTCGTTCTTTACATAACTTTCCATAGACTCAAAGTCTGAACCTTTGTCCAGCTCTAATGCACAGTAACTCCCAAAACCATTCTGTTATTAAAAACATTGATATAAAAAATTCCTACGAGCTCATCGAAACGGAGCCAAAGGGCTAGGGCTATTGACGTCTTCCTTAACTCCTCCGAGCTCTTCTCTCCGTATCTCAAGAACGAGCTCATCGAAACTAATTAATGCTTTGTTTTATTCGCCCCCTTACAGCTTCTCACTCGCTAGACATCCAACGGTCCCAACCCATCTCTTAGATTAGACACCGAGGTAACAAGACCTTTCAGATCAATCGTTGCCGTCTTCTTCACGCTTCGTAGCTTTGTATTTAGACACGAGACGAGATCGAGCCCCATCCTTCTGTAATCCTTCTCTTTCTCCTTAGGTATTTATGATAAGCTTTATATAAAAAATGAAATTTTCTATCGTTGAGTATAGATAAGTACAAAATAAATCATTAAGAATTTAAGAATGTCCACAAGTTATCCTAAACACTAAATTCATGGCATTAAGTAATTAAGTTGGTGGCAAGTCTCAGTATAGGCATTAATTGAGTAATTGGGCCTTGGCGAAAGTGGGTAGGCTTTTCTTATTCAACGTTGGGTCTCCATTTTTTTTTTTTTTTTTTTTTGGTTTTGGGAGAAGAATCTCTATTCATTGATCCATTGACTAAAAAATTATGAATTTCTTGTATCCATTGGTTTTTGGAGAAGAATCTCTATTTTTTTTTTTATAAGTATTTGAATTTCATTAATGAATAATGAGAAGAGTTTGTAGAATATACAAAAAAGCTTAACCTAGCAGTTATTTTCTGCCCAAAAAAGATTTAAAAAAAAATAAAATAAAAAAGAGCTAATGCAACATCATACTGAACTATTCATACGTGAGCCAATTTTGCATTAGGCCACCTAACGTTTGTGAGATTTCCTTGCCAGAATTGAGTCCCTGATTTGCCTAGTTTGGAATGGACGGTTTGCGTCTTAGATAATTCCATCTCGTCGAGCGACAACCCATATCTTAAACAGATGAAGCCTTCGTGTGATTGATTAGGCCAAACCTAAGAACTGGACTATTTGCCTCTTTCTCGTGTTTATATATAGAGAGATCCATCAGGGTTTCCCCTAATTCATTTAGAAGATATCTCCACATGTAATAATTTCTTTCATCTGTTCTTGCATGTGAAGAACACCATTGGGCAATCTTTTATTGATTTTGTTCAGGCTTTGTATTGCATAGGCCTATCTGATTCTTGTCTTTGGTATCACTTATCGGAACGTAAAGTTTTGCTGCTTTGTGCTGGTTTTATGACTGAAATAACGTAACTATAATTTAACCACTAAAGATAGATTACTTACTTTTTGTTATAATTTTATGAAAATACGATTCCTATAAAATTTTAAGAGGTTTCAAAATAATATTAAAAAAAAATAGAATGATTTTTTTTAATGAATGCATATTTTTAAATAAAATAAAAGGCTTTTAAAAAAAGGCGTTTCATATTTAACAATTTGACATAGGCCTCATAAGTTTAGGCACATCATGGTTCTCGCAAATAACTTTACTCGCATTGGGAAGCCAATATAATGATCAATTCTATAGAAATTAGTTAATATATATATATATAATAAAGCATAAGATTACATTTCATCATAAATTTGCATGGTTGCAACTTCACACACATAGAATATATTTACAAACAAAATATTATCATAAAGAATATATATTTCATTTCCCAGAATCCAGTTATATATAAAACATGGTTTATTTATTTTTTTAGTTATCATGGAGTTCAATTACTTGCATTAATTTTTGATGTTCTTTAACGGTCCATGCCAGACGCTACAAACGGCGGCGTTTTGGTATTTGTTCTTCCTGTCTCATTGTTTCCTTGCCACCCTTTGTTTGTAGTAAAATAATTGCAATGGACAAAAAACAAACACTTATAACTAAAACGACCTTCATTGCTAAAAAGAGAAAGGGGTAATAGAGATTGTTTACCTAGAGAAGGATCAAGACCTCGATGTTTGAGTTCGCGGTGTTCCTGAGAAAGAGCACATGGACAGCAGAAGAAGTGAATGGCGCCATCGGCACAAGGCTCCTCGGGCAAAGAGTATTGATGCCTCAATTTGGCTCTGTATTTTGAAGCATAGTACCATCCACACCCAATGCTAGACATTGCGACCACCATTAATCCAGCTAGTCCTTCACCTTTTTAATCCATTTCCATTTATTAATTAACTTGGTAACACGAATTGTATATACAAAAACATTTCACGTGTTCTTTATAGGCATCTTGAGTTTCTAGTGTTTAAATTTCAAACTAATTTTCACCTTTAGTTCTATTTCTTATATAGTATTTGCAACAATATTAACGATTTGAAAGTGTGATATGCTATATCAGCCCTGTAAAATCATTTTTATCGTCATTTTGGCATAAACGATCTCTGTACAGTCTCATTTAAAAAACTATATTAACTCTTTTAATTTCTTCATAAAAATATATGTATTAAGAATAGTAGAAGTGTAATCAAAAAGTAGTTTATGTGAATAAATTCCAATTCAAAATAAATTGATAATAACCGTTCTATGTTTTCTTGTAATTCCATTTCATCTCATTGGCGATATGTGAGATTGTTTCTTAATAGGAGTACTGAATAGTGGAAATCAGAAACTGTTATAAAACTTGTTGTTCTATTGATTAATGAATGAGATTACAACTTATATATATACATAATAAGGGAGACAAATCTCAATTGGACTAGGAAACCCTAAAGCCCAAAGCCCACTAAGACTAACATAAACCGTCATTGGGCGAGTCTTCTAGAAGCTAGACATGGGCCTTTTAGAACATGGACATGGGCCACGGTTATGGAGTCCATCCGTTATGTGGTTTACAACACTCCCCCTTGGATGACATAACCGTGTAGATGCCAAAGGATCTTTGTAATGCGCTTGGGGATGCTGCCTCATTAAAACCTTACCAGGAAAACCCATTGGGACAAAACCACGGTGAAGGAAAAAGAGTACAGCACGCATTACTCCCCCTGTTTTGGTCATCCCTGCAAGTCCTTAAGTCTCCGCATTCCAATTTGATGCGTGAGCTTCCTTAATGTTGTTGTTGGTAGTGCTTTAGTGAAGAGATCGGCTGAGTTGTTGCTTGAACGAACTTGCACCACTTGAACTTCACCATCCTTTTGTAGGTCATGCGTGAAGAAGAACTTAGGTAGAATGTGCTTTGTCCGATCTCCCTTGATGTAGCCGTCCTTGAGCTGAGCGATACATGGCTACGTTGTCTTCACATATGATGGTCTTTGATGTTGTAGTAGCTGCGCCTTGAAGAAGGCTGCGCCTTGAAGAAGGCTGCCTACGTACCCTTGGAAGGGATCAAGCCACACGTAGTTCCTATTTATTGACCATGCCATAATCTGATCTTACCTGCATTAGCAAAACAAACTAAACCAAAGCAAACTAGACCTTCTTTGGTTAGATCAGTATAGAATAAACCCAAATAAACAAAGTAGGAAGAATAAACTTTAAAATTTAACTAAACCTTCCTTCAAACCTTTCCAGTGCCTTTGGGTTGATCATGAACTAAATTTAGACAAAGGAGGTTCACGGCAAAACATATGTCTGGTCTAGTGTGGCTAGCCAAGTACATTAACGCTCCTATGACACTGAGGTATGGCACTTCAGGACCGAGAACTTCTTCCTCGTCCTTCTTTGGACCAAATGGATCACTATCCAATCCAAGGCTTCTCACCACCATTGGGCCTGGTCAATGGGCGGGCCTGGTCCTTATTAAATATCCTTGAGTACTTTTCAGTATATGCCTTTTGATGCACAAGGATTCCATTATTCATGTACTCAGGTTGTAATCTCAAACAGAACTTAATTATTGCATAGGTCTTTCTTTTAGATATACTCAACTGTTTGGTCGATTACCCAGAAGTTTAAATTATTCATATACACTGCTATGATTACAAATCTTTTGTTTGCAAACCTCTTTATGAAAATACATGGACTAATGGGATCATTTATAACATTCCATACGCCCATTTGATCTAAGTCCATGAAAGGATTTGTCCAGCCTTATGCAGTGATATTCTCGAGAATCTTTCTTATCTTTGAGCTCAATACCCTCGAGTAATCTCATATATATTATCCAGTGGACTTATATAAATATGCAGGCATTACATCCATTAGCCGCAAATCAAATCTTTTCCTTTATATAGCCAGACTTAGCATCCACCACAAGGGAGTATGTTTCTTCATAATATATCCCCGGTCTTTGTGAGAATCCTTGTGCTATAAGCCGTGCCTTATATCTCACGATTTCATTATTCTCATTTCTCTTCTTCACAAAGACCCATTTGTGTCCTACTGGTTTTTTACATCGAATGGTGTCCTTAAGGTCGGACCAAACTCATTCCTTTTCTTAATGATTCTTAGCTCCACGTTTTATGGTCTTGTACCATTTAATCAATCAAGTCTTTGAGTGCACTCTAGTATAGACGTGGGCTCCTGATCCTCATTTATATTCATAAATTCAAGTGCTACCTTGTATGTAAATAAATCATCTTATGTCGACATTCCTTATGGGTTCCATTATGTTCCAGACATGATATAATCGATTTGAGATTTATTATGGTCAGGACCTTTAATACTTTGCAGCTTGGCGTCCCAAGCTACATTATATGGTACCTGTACCTTAGAGCCGGCCGGCCTTATCTCCATGTCTGGGATGGTTTCCTTAATAACCTCGGTTCCTATTGCACCTTTCTTTAATTTCCGAGGATTTTTTTTTTTTATCATTGGAACCTTATTGGTCTACCACGTCTCATACGTTGTCTAGACTCTGTAGCAACTTGACTAAGTCCCTTTTGGACATCAATTTGTACTGGTGCATTACAAGCTGGTATGTACGATTTTGTAACTTTCTTTTGGGTCAGCAAAGGAATATGGCAATTGATTAGCTAGCTTTTCAAATGTATAATCTTATGGACCTCTGATTCTCATGCCAGAGTCCGAGGATCTTGCCAATTTAAGGATGTTTGATTCCATGATATTTCTTTTATTGCTTTACCCAGCTTGTTCGTCTCTCCACCTAAAGTAGGAAACTCGGATTCATTAAAATGACAATCCGCGTATCTATCCTTAAATAGATCACCCGTGGTTGGCTCTAGATACTTAATAATGGTGGGAGAATCAAATCCAACATATATTCCCATCCTCCTTTGAGGTCCCATCTTTGTTCTATGTGGTGGAGCAATCGGTACATATACGGCACACCCGAAAGTCTTTAGATGGGATATGTCTGGCTCATGACCCATGAGTAATTGGGATGGTGAATATTTATGTTCACTAGATGGCCTTATGCGTATGAGCTCTGATGCATGTAAAACAGCGTGTCCCCAAGCGGCTACTGGAAGCTTCGACCTCATGAGTAATGGTCGAGCTATCAATTGAATTCGTTTAATGAAGGATTCCGCTAATCCATTCTGTGTATGTATATGTGCCACGGGATGTTCCACACTTACCCCCATGGACATACAGTAGTCATTAAACGCTTGGGACGTTAATTCACCGGCATTATCTAGACGTATAGTCTTAAGCGGAAAATCGAAAATGGGCTCTCAGTCTTATGATCTGGGCCAACAACCTAGCAAACACTTGGTTTCTAGAGGATAATAAACAAACATGCGACCATCTTGTCGATGCATCAATGAGGACCATGTAATATCTAAATGTCCCACATGGTGGGTGTATTGGTCCACATATATCCCCTTGTATCCTTTCCAGAAAGTTTAAGGTTTCTATATTTACCTTAGCCGGTGATGGCCTTATAATGAGTTTCCCTTGTGAACATGCTTCACACGTGAGATTCTTAGGGATAACTCTTTTCTCTTTTAGGGTGTGCCCCTTTGAATTAGTTATTAGTTTACGCATCATACTATGACCCGGATGGCCAAGCCGGTCATGCCATTAAGTGAATTTCTCGATGAACTCTTTGTTCATTGCCATATTAGCTTCGATCATATCGATTTTAGCATAGTAGAGACCAGTGGATAATGCGGGTATAGTCTCTAGGACTTTCTTATGTCCTTTGGTGATCTCAATTATATTTAGGAATTCTTTGTTCCCTTCACCCTTTGTTTCAATATGGAAACCATTCAATCTTATTTCTTTGAAACTCAATAAGCTCCTCTTTGAGCTGGGTGAATATAAGGCATCGCTTAGTTCAAGATGCGTGCCATTTGGTAATAGAATATGGGCTTGGCTGTAGCCCTCAATAAGATTTGCTATACCCACTATAGTGCTAATATTGGCATTTTTTCATTATGAGATTTAGGAAAATATCTCTTATCTTTTGTGTGGCTCCACTATCCACCACAAATATGTTCTTGTCCTCGGCCATTTCTTATATGGACAAGAATCATGTTTTAAACATAAAATAATATAAAATAAATTCAAGGAAATAACAATTAATGAACACATAAAACGGCAAAGAAACACACAAAGGTTTTGATGTCGAAATCGGATTTACCAACTTGATTCTTTTAGGCGATCAGAAGTTTTATACTCCATTAGATCATCTTGATCATGTTCAAAATTATTTTCACCATCTTTATATATACCAAATGGGCTTTAGGATTCTTCCTTTCACACTCTCTTGATAGAGGTTACAATGATGTTTGGAAGTCCTACATATCTTAACCCAATGGTTCCCCATTCCATATCTATGGCACACTTATTTGGTCGAGTGTTGTGGTTTGGAAATACCACAGCGTCCTCGCCCTCGACCACGGCCAAAATTGGGCTCACAACCACGGTTATAGTGGTTCCCACGGCCAGATGAATTATAGTTGCAACGGCCACGTCCTTTCCATCCACCCCGGCCACGGCCGTGTGGTCTATCACTCTGGACGTGTTTAGATTCTTTGGAATTTTTTTTCTTATCCTCTGCGGCCTTATTGGCATCAAGTAATGAGGTTAATCTATGAGATCTTAATTTACTTTTTCCCTTCAGTAAGTCATTATTTTGCTCAACTAGCAATAGACTCATCCACAGACTTATAGTCCTAGATTCTGAGACTCTCAATAAGATGGTGGCTAAAATTGCCTTGTATCTATCTTTCTCTCTTGGCATTATTGCCATATGTGATACATTCACCAAGTCCTTTTGAATTTAGGATAATCTTAGTATCCATTTCCCATTTCAAATAATTATCTCCTAAGAGATTTAGGGCAGTAAAATACAAGTTGTAATTCGACATCTACAAGCAAAGAGGTTTAAGTCAAAATCATGTAATCGTTAATGTCATGCGGTATTTAAGACCGAACCATGAATCGATTTTACTTAGGGATTTGACTTTTCCTTTTCCTATTAGGATTAAATTTCCTCTTTTGCTTAGGATTAGGGTTTTCCTATTTTACTTAGGATTTAAGATTTTTAAGATTTCCTTTTTGATTAGGATTTAAAAAATTTTCTATTTCTTAAGGTTTTCCTATCTTGAATAGGTTTTAGGAATTTCCTAATTTAATTAGGATTTTAGGATTTTAGATTTCCTATTTTAATAAGGATTTTAGGGTTTTAAGATTTCCTATTTTAATAAGGATTTTAGGGTTTTAAGATTTCCTATTTTAATAAGGATTTTAGGGTTTTAAGATTTCCTATTTTAATTAGGATTTTAGGGTTTTAAGATTTCCTATTTTAATTAGGATTTCGGTTTTAGGGTTTATGCAACATGAGGGATTTTATCTCTTTAACAATTCATGCATGCAACCACAGAAACAATCAAACTAAAAACGCCTTAAGCAAGTAATTTGCGCAACCCATGTAATCTGCGTAACCCATGTAATCTGCGTAACCCATGTAATTTGCGTAACCCATGTAATTTGCGTAACCCATGTAATTTGCGTAACCCATGTAATTTGCGTAACCTCAACCAAACGTGATTTAGAATGTAGGGTTTTGATCCGATTAGAGTGTTTTTCAATTTAGGGTTTATGTCTTTTAGGGTTTCGGATTCTAGGTTAAGATGTTTTTGATTTGCGAGTTTAGGATAAGCAATAACAAGCTTTCTAGCAACCTAAACAAGTCAAACAATCGAGCAAACAAAACAATCGGACCAAGCAATCAAAACACTTATTAACCATTCGTTTTAGGGTTTTAAGATTTTAGATTAAGATGTTTTCGATTTGCGAGTTTAGGATAAGCAATAACAAACTTTCTAGAAACCTAAACAAGTCAAGCAATCGAGCAAACAAAACATCGGACCAAGCAATCAAATCGCAAACACTTATCAACCATTCGTTTTAGGGTTTTAGTTGTTTGTTAGGTCCAAATTCGATTAGGGTTCTTTAGCTTTAGGGTTTGTCAAGTTACCTTTCTCCTTTGGGGTTGTATGGACTAGAACCGGGAGCTAAAGACCTCGGTTATCAACTTGTCACGAGCGTATGGTGCTAGGAGGAGATCGCCGATCAAGGAGCAAAGCGAGCGGTCGGCGGTTGGTAGCTTCGGGCGGCGGACGAGCTCGACGACTTTAGATTTAGGGTTTTAGGGTTTTCGTTAAGAGCAAGTCGTGCTGATAACGTGTTATAAAACTTGTTGTTCTATTGATTAATGAATGAGATTACAACTTATATATATACATAATAAGGGAGACAAATCTCAATTGGACTAGGAAACCCTAAAGCCCAAAGCCCACTAAGACTAACATAAACCGTCATTGGGCGAGTCTTCTAGAAGCTAGACATGGGCCTTTTAGAACATGGACATGGGCCACGGTTATGGAGTCCATCCGTTATGTGGTTTACAACAGAAACGTACTTGTTTCTCCTTTATCAAGGATCTCAGCGATCCTCCCAAATGCAACGCATGGACAAAACCATGTAAAGCAGCCTTCATAACAATTTACAAACAAAACCAAAAAATAGTATCCGATTATTTAATTTTCTTTAAATTTACTTGTATAAGAAAGAGTTATAAAAGTTAAATGAAATTATTACATGTAGAGATATCTTCGGAGAGACAATCGTATAAACCGGTAGTCCATTGCCCTTCAGTTACTATCTTCTCATTTTTGCTTTCTTGTTCAGCCATTTTTTTTGTTGATAGAGATAACTTATTCAAATTAGTGGTGTTTAGATCATTTGTTATACACTATCAATAAATAGATATTTAATTTGAATTATTCTATTTGTTTGGTCTACATTTTGAATGTTGACTCCAAATTTTATACATATATTTTCTTACTGGTCACAATAAAACAATTAAATAGAGAATGCAACGTCGTGATCACTTGTTCAAAAGGAGAAGACTGTTCTTTCCAGGTAATTTCAAAAATCATATCTCTTATAAAAAATTTATTATTGTTTTTCAAATTCTTTCGATTTGGTTAGGTTTAAAAAAATTCTAACAGATATTGTTTTAAACTTAAAAGAAGCAAAATCAATTGACAATGAATAAATTAAATAAACCAAAACGAATACTCTATTCTATAGACGTCTCACATTTCATAAACGTTGTAGGGACGATCACGTTTTGGAAACAGCTTGAAAATGTCTCCAAGACATTTGAAACAATAGGAGACAGCTTGCCGTTGACGTCTTGAGGAAGATGGTAAAAAGATTGTATGGGGATGTCCATATCGAACAAAAAGATGATGTCTCCAATATTGTAAACGTGTTTCTATATATTTTCGAAAATTCAAAAAATAAGAAAAAAAGAAAATTAAAATTGTGAATACAGTAGTATGTTTTCTCTCTCTCTCTAGTCACTGCCTCCTAACGTCTCTCTAGAAAATGAGTTTGATCATTGACAATTGAATAGCTTATTTTGTCATTTTTCTTAAATCAAACTAAATTGTTTTAATATTTATCTTGAGATTTATGTTTTTTTTTTTGTTTTTATCTTTATATATATAGTATATGTATATGTATATTTTTATATTGTTATTGACATATCCATGCCGTACCCGTGATTATGAATCAATCTGTCTTGGTGCTACTTAACGCATATCTTTTATATATCGCCCAAGTCTTTTTTCCAGATGTGAAATATTCCTAACATGCTCTTTTAAATGAAACTCTAATTGGTTCATTTCAATCTATATCTTACTCTAATATCAACGATAAATCGTAATTACATTATTCGACTTGGGTCAACAACTTTGATTTGATATCATATTAAATTTCATAAAATCAAATTTAATATTGATTCAAAATGAGTAGAGTGCTCCATATTTTTTATCACTTAAGTTCTCATCTCACTTTCAATTTGGATATCTCAAACATAAATATAAACTTTTATCTTCAAAAGATATATTACCTTATATTCAAACATTTCATATATATTTGGAAATTTTGTCATTTCACATACATTACATGTTCTAATCTCAATTTATACGGTTTAACCCTGAACCTTTTAGCCAACAAAAGAACAATTAATTTATTAAATCACTCTCTTTTACTAGTTGAAATGATATCATGTTTTAAGTCTATTAAGAAGCCATGTAAATGAACTACTCGACAGTTATATTTATTTTAGAATGATTAGTCAAGTGGTAAAAACCCGAATCATTATCTGGTTATTAAAATTTTTTTTAGAAAAAAGCGTACCTACAATTGGATATGTTTGATATGTATTGAAACTTCTATGTTCAAACAATGGCCCTATTCGTTTGCCTGTCGCTGGATTCAGCGACAGCGACCAGCGACAGCGACCAGCGATAGCATATATTGTTCGTTTGTCTGTCGCTGGATTCAGCGACCGAAACCAGCGACTGTCGCTAACGGCTGTCGTTGTGTTGTTCGTTTGACTGTCTCTCAAAACAATCGCTATATTTTTAAAATTCTGAAAGTATTATTTATGACAATTTATATTTTAAAATAAAAATGTAAATTACATATATCATACACCATTAGAAAAAATAAATCAATACATTTCTTTAATTTAATTTTATCAAATTTAATTTGAATATTATTACTTTGAATTATTTGAATTTAATTTAATAAGGTTTATTTTAATGTATTTATATTTTATTTTAATTTAATAAAATTTATTTTAATTTAGATTATATTTAATTTGATTTATTTGAATCTAATTCAGTTTAATTTAATTATATTTAACTAATTTTAGTTTTGATTATATTTAATTTAGTTTAGTTTAATTTAATTTAATTTATTTTTGCTTATTTTTTTAATTTATATTTTTTGATCGCTAAGTTGTTCGTTTGCCTGTCGCTGGATTCAGCGACCAAAAGCAGCGACTGATTGCTGAAACCAGCGACTGGTCGCTAAAAATTTTAGCGACTAAAAATTGTGGTCGCTAGTCGCTGGCAGCTGTTGCTGCGATTAGTCGTTGAACCAGCGACAGGCAAACAAACAACTTTTGGTTGCAATCGCTGGTTTCAGTCGCCAGACAGGCAAACAAACATGCCCAATAACCAAAGACCAAGTAACATACTCACAATTCATGCCCAAATTATAACATAAATTTATTACTTATGTATTTGTTTAATGAATCAATTATAGAATTTGCTATTTTTTTTTTTTTTTTTTTTTGTCAACCACACATTAATTAATAAATAATTCCTTGATTGGTTGCCCAATTAGGAGGAGTAGAGTTTACAAAAGTAACTTCAGAAAATAAAAGTCTAGAAGAACGGGCTAAGCAGTCCGCTTGAACATTACATAAACGAGAAATAAGAGAAAGCGAGAAGAAAGGGAAAGAGAGACGGAGAAAACCAAACTCGTCTAGAAGATTGGAGAAAGCAGGCCATTCATCCGGTGAGTGTATCATCGAGACTAACTCCGAGCAGTCTGATTCAAACACCTGACAATCGATTCCTCTTGAAAGGATATTCTTCATAGCCCAAATTAAAGCTTCCATCTCCGAGTGAAGAGGGGAGGGACACCTCCGAAGGCACTTTGCACCGAGCAGTATCGTGTGATCATTTCCTTGAAAACACCACCATCCTATACCCATTGTTGGATCTGAATGTTTCCAAGAACCATCAATCCGACATCTTATAGATTGAACCGGTCGTTCCAAAGTTTCCGTAGTAGAACTAGTTTCGATCGGATCCAACTGAGCTTCTTCCCACAATAATTTTTCACTCAAAGCATGATTTAAAATATCTCTGGGTTCAGATTGTAATCCCTTGAAAACCTTTTTATTCCTATCTTTCCAGATGAACCACAAAATCCAAGCATAACTGAAAGATTTCTCTCCCCCATCTAGATTAGATGGTAACCTCCAATAAAGATAATCTAGATTTGAGAATTCCGAGGTTAGAGGAAAACTACCTATTGCCATAGGTATATCTGATAATTCCCATACACTTTTTTTACATTATGTTTGAATTCCCATAACAAATTCAAAGCATGATGTTTGAAACTTGTTTATAATATAAAAACAAGTGTTGATGTTAGATTTGTAATGTAAGACATTTTTGTTCTAATTTAAAGCTATTCTTAGATTTCTTGAAAATTCGTTTTAGTAATGTTTATTGAGTTCATCTTATTAATTCTCATTTGTTTTAGTCTATTAAAGTTGGATTGCGTTGATAATTTATGAAAGTATTGGTTGAATCGAGCGAAATAGAACATAAGATTTCTCCAATCTGCAGTTATGGTACTACTGATATTATAAATACAACTGGTACTACTGATACAACATGAATTACAAAGATAACAAAACAACTATTATGAAGTTAGTTTTTATTCTATTTCAGGTGATAATGAGTAATAACCATCGCACATTAATACATTTTCATTATGGAGGAAATAATTTAAAGAGTGGAGATGAAACAGAATGGATTTCAAGTGAAGATGTTTGGTAAGCTCTTTTGATGAAGGCATCTATTAAGGAGATCACTGACGTATTATCGGACGATACAACTTAGAGGATCATGTATAACTGTGGTACAAGTACGTATAATTTTAAACTTAACATTTTACACTCTCGTGGTACAACTAAGTGGAACTGATACAACTGTAGTACAACTACGTTTCACTTTTAACTTTACAAGTAATAAATTTTAAAACCAATAAACTCCATCTATTTCTATGTTACCAAATACAAACATACCATAACATAAGATCAGAAGTTACTCTACCAAGTACCAACCATTGAAATAGAAACTCTTAAGAAACAAAAAAAAAAAACCTACTCTCAAGTGGCCCATTGTAAGCCCAAGATGTAAAACAACGACGTAACAAGTAAATATCCAGATCTAAAGTCTTAAAAACTCGTCGGCTCCATCTCGGGTCTAAAACTAATAAGCGACGTTCGAAGAATTTGTGAGCCAGTAGAAGCGCCGGTCTACTTTAAAAGTTCGTTTGGTAAATTCCACTTTCTCTCCAAACTTATTCTATTTTTTTGAATCTTCCCTCTCTCTATCTTCTTCCTCTCCACGGATCTTTGACGACGACCTAGCTTTGGGATGTTATTCTCTTGTGCCTCTATATGTGCAAAGCTTTTCTCTTCTATCCCCATTTATTCTACATACCCTTATACCTTTACTATAATTCTCATTCTCCACTTTGCCCTTTCTTTTAATTTTTGAATTATTTAAATAAAAAATAGTTGAATTAAAAACTAAAACCCTCAAAAAATAAACCAATCACAATTCATCTCACAATTCATCCTCTTCAAAACATCCGTATAACCCACGCATCCACCATTAAAACTCAAATGAAGGTGATTTCTTTTCCTATTATATTGTTTTTGTTCAACTTAAACATGTTTGAAACTTGTTTATAGTATAAAAACAAGTGTTGATGTTAGATTTGTAATGTAAGACATTTTTGTTCTAATTTAAAGCTATTCTTAGATTTCTTGAAAATTCGTTTTAGTAATGTTTATTGAGTTCATCTTATTAATTCTCATTTGTTTTAGTCTATTAAAGTTGGATTGCGTTGATAATTTATGAAAGTATTGGTTGAATCGAGCGAAATAGAACATAAGATTTCTCCAATCTGCAGTTATGGTACTACTGATATTATAAATACAACTGGTACTACTGATACAACATGAATTACAAAGATAACAAAACAACTATTCTGAAGTTAGTTTTTATTCTATTTCAGGTGATAATGAGTAATAACCATCGCACATTAATACATTTTCATTATGGAGGAAATAATTTAAAGAGTGGAGATGAAACAGAATGGATTTCAAGTGAAGATGTTTGGTAAGCTCTTTTGATGAAGGCATCTATTAAGGAGATCACTGACGTATTATCGGACGATACAACTGAGAGGATCATGTATAACTGTGGTACAAGTACGTATAATTTTAAACTTAACATTTTACACTCTCGTGGTACAACTAAGTGGAACTGATACAACTGTAGTACAACTACGTATCACTTTTAACTTTACAAGTAATAAATTTTAAAACCAATAAACTCCATCTATTTCTATGTTACCAAATACAAACATATCATATTTTAACACATAATACTATATAACGTTGAAAATTTTAACTAAAGAATTATGTTCCTACAAAAGAGCAAACATTCCTTATACTTTCATAGTTACTTTGTAAGTTTTAACCAAGTATTTATGTCAAATATGTAAACATGTTATTTTACACATATTATTATATGATATTGCTTTAAATATCGTTTATTTATCTAATATAGAAAATACAATTGCAATTGAGTGCAAGGTACTACTGATGATAAGTTTAAAAAACAAAATACAACTATATTCATGTCTGTACAACTGAAAGCTTGAGTACAACTACTTGAAAAACATGGTTTGATGGGTCTCATTTATCCAAACATTTGTTTTTATGGGTTCTATTTGTTCAAACATGTGGGATCTTGGAATTATAACATGTTAGATGTGGTTTTTAATGTGTCCCACTTATATTGATTTTATTTTTTAATCAATTTATTTATAAATCCAAATGTCACAATTATACATTTATATCTAATAAACAAACAATTGTACCGTTTAGAAATAATTGTACCTAATAAAAACAGTTGTACCTATAAAAACACTTGTACCTAGTTTGTGAAATATCCATCCAACAAAAAACAAACCAAACATTCATCTATTAAATCACTTTGAAGTCTTTCTAATCTACACAACATGCCATGTTTCCTAAGCGAATACCGAACATGAATGCCATTAACGACAAACAACATAATCTATCTTTTCTCATACAAACTGTGCGAAGCAACAACATCCACGTCTCGCCTCCATGTCTTGTTGTCCTCTTCTTCGAGCTTCGGTGCGCTATGCGCCATTGCGCTCCATTAGCGCGCTTTTTAAAACCAATATTCCACATACACGTATAATTTTGATTCTCTTCCCTATGCATGTGCCAAATGTGTTTAAACTTTGGATGCAAACGAAACTAATTCTTCTCACCTTTCCCATGGATATCTTCAGTCTTTGATGATAACTTACACTACCCTGTATAATCGGTTTGCTTGAAGTAAAAATTCTCAGGTGGTAGTGGTTGGATATCCTTCGAATCCTCATCATTATCCTGCAAATTCAAACATCACTATCATGAATAGTTGTACTCTAGTTGTACCAATCCCGACAGTTGTACCAAGAAAATTTATTTGTACCAAAACAAAAAAAAAACGGTGATTCAATTCTCGATGTACATGTGGACGCGATAGAGGAGACCTCTCAAATACGAGCCATCCTGAATTAGCGAAATAAAACGCAAAATTCTAAGAAATTTCAACCATTTCCCCAATTTAAAACCTTAATTTTGAATAAAAACCCCAATTTCACAAGCTTAATTTCACAAATTAATGACTTACCTTCAATGTTTGACAGTTTAAGATGAAGAAAACAACAACATTGATGAGGAAGTGGGAAAATGTAGAGTGAATATGTTGAGCTTAAGAAACGTTGACGAAGGAAAAGGAAAAAAAAATGAGAGAGAGAGAGAGAGTGAAATTTTTTTTTTTTTTTTTCAAATGGATTGAAATCGAATAAAAGAGGTGGAAGATCCGTAACTTGTTGATTTTGGGTGGTTGACCCGAAACAATAGTGGTTGGTAGACCTGGGCATTCGGGTACCCGTTCGGGTTCGGTTCTTTTTTTTCGGGTATCGGGTCTATTCGGGTAGGGGTCAAGACCCAATCGGGTATTCTAAAAATTTGGTTCGGGTTCGGTTCGGGTTCGGGTCGGTTCGGGTATTTTAATAAAAAAGCAAAATACCCGAAAATAACCAAAAATACCCGAAATATTTTCGGGTTCGGGTCGGGTTCGGGTTTTTAACTCATATATACCCAAATCTAACCGAAATACTCGATTTATCGAAAATACAATGGTTACTCTTTACCCAAATATAACCAAAAATATCTAAAATACCTAATATATTCGGATTTATGATTGTAATTTTAGGTATTTCGGGTATTATAAATATAAATATAACTAATATTTATAGGTGTATATTTGTATTCGGGTATATTCGGGTACATTCGGGTATTGGATTCGGTTCGGGTTCGGTTCGGGTTTTTTTCGGGTAGGAGGTTAGGACCCATTCGGGTATTTTTAAAAATTGGGTTCGGGTTCGGTTCGGGTATTGTTCGGGTTTTTCGGTTCGGGTATTCGGTTCTGGGTATTTTGCCCAGGCCTAGTGGTTGGGTCGGTAAATATTGTTTTGTTTTAAGGGTTATGATGTATTTTCTCTTTATTTCGATTTAAATGAAAAGAAAAAAATAAATAGATCTTATAAAGGCACGGGAGAATAAGATCCCCTAGCTTTGTTTGATTTAGGGTTTCCTTTTCTGGTAAAATTCTCTCTGCTCTTGTTTCTGAATTCAAGCTTGCTTTGAATTTTTTTTAATTTCGACTCTATAGATTGTGAATTTCGTGATCTACAATTTTATCGCGAAAATTTGGTGTTTCTTGAAACAATTTTGATTGATTTTTGTCATATGATTTGGTTTTGTGGTGATTGATTCAGATTTAAGATTCTTTAGCGTTTTGGTTCTTGCAGGAGTCTCTTATAGCTTCTGTGTGTGATATATACGTTACGAGGTTTATAGTATCGTCGTCGAAGAGTATGAAGCGTAAAAGCGGACATAAGAAAGGGAAGAAGTCTAAAAAGTCTAAGACTATCAATGAAGAAGGGAACTTGAATGAGTCAACCGAAATCGCGGAGAATCAAACCTCTGAGCAAAGTTCTGAAGCTCCTGTTGAGTGTGAGAATGATGAATCTAAAATGGAGGTTGATGCTCCTTTGTCTATTGGGAGTGGTAATTCACCTATTGCTGGGAGTGTAGATCCAGCTGAGAATATAGCGGCGAAGTCAGTTGCGCGTGTTAAGGTTAAATTGAAGACTTCGAAAGCACCAGAACCTGATGAGACCTTGGGTAATGATATCGATAAAGCGGTGTCTGAAAAACCTGTTGTGCCTGCTGAGAAAAAGGAGGAATTGGTTCCTCCTCGTTTGCCTGAGAGGAAGCCGGTGTTTTTGAATGTTTACAGGAAAACTAAAGGTATAAAGATTAAGACTTCAAAGATGGTTGATGGGTCTAGCTCGGTTACTGAGAAGAGTGCTGATGCTGTCAAGGTTCAGGATGCAGTAGTACTTCAAAAGGATACGAAAACGCCGGATGAGGATTCTCAAGCCAGTAAGAAAGAGCCAGAAGTTGCACCGATTTCTTTGCAGAAAGAGGAGAAGAAGACTGATCAAAATTCACGATACAATAAGCAAGAACTGGAAGATTCTCTTACAGTATGCTCAGAAAAATCTACTTAATTTATTGCTTTTTTTTAAAGGTACCAACAGTTCAAGTTGAATATCTTGTCTAACGTACCTTCTGTGTGTTACTGTTGGTGTCATATTACTCTAGGTGATCAAGAAGATTATGAAGATGGATGCTGCTGATCCTTTTAATGTTCCTGTGAACCCAGAAGCTCTTGGAATTCCTGTAAGTGCAGACATAGTTACATCTTTTTTCGGATAAGTGCACCATTTTAGGGAGTGCTGTTACATCTTAACTGTCTCATGTGACTATTCAGCTATACATTTTTTGTAGTCAGTAGATATCCTTGACATGGTTTTTGTTCTATATAGTTTTGCAGCTTAATTACTTTTCTTGTGAACAAACGAAAATCAGTTCAGTCTCACTTGACAGGACTTAGAAATGCTCTAGTACATGAACTACACTATTATTTAGCTCACCACATCAGTCTCGTCTTTCTCTTTCCGTATGTGGACAAGGGAAGGCTACAAACTCCAACGATTATTGTCTTTTTCATAGGGGAGTAAATTTGGCGTTTTGGTTACGGCAAAATTTTAATAGCTCTTATGATTTATATTCTTAGACACTATCCAAAGATGAATAATGAAAAGTTATAACATGTGACTTCCTTGTCCATGTCATGGGACATTATTAATATGGGATGTTTTCTCCTACACATTTCCCATCTCTTCTATGCTCTTTACTTCTAAAGGGGCTTCAGAATTGATGTCTGACAGTTGTAACTGTTTTCTGGTTATGTGACTAGGACTACTTTGATATCATCAAGACACCTATGGATTTTGGAACAATATGCAATAATTTTGAGAAAGGCAACAAGTATATGAATTCTGAGGATGTTTACAAGGATGTCAACTACATTTGGAATAACTGTTCCAAGTACAATAAGAAAGGTGATTATATTGTGGATCTGATGAAGCGAGTGAAGAAAAATTTCATGAAGTACTGGACTGCAGCAGGGTTGTATACCGAGCAATCAGCAGGTATTGCTAACATTTTATCTTTTCAATGTTTAGACTCTTGTGGTGAAGCATCTTTTAGTTGGTAGCTACAGCTCTCTCCATAGAAAGTTACATTTCTGAATCCCCTTGGCATATATATATATATACAACATATTCAGAAACCTCTGACAATGGTCATTGCTGATGTTATTTAATGAAATGTCTCTGTTGAAATGCACGTATGTTAGATAGATGAGTTAATCCTGAATGCAGTTGCGTGTAAGCATTTGGCTACACTTTCCGGGTTACGTTTAGTTTGCATTGTATGTCACTTTTAATTCTCTTATGGAATTCCAGAATCAAAGATGTATAAACCTTATTATAGGAAGTGCATGGCCATTAATGAAAGAATTCCATTCGAAAAGAAATTATCAAGAGATATGTCAATATGCAGAAAATGTTAACAATACTTGGATTGTATATGTTAGCTATGCATTTTGGCCTGAGTAATTGTGCTTAGGATTTAGCTTATATGGTTTCTTTGGTTATCAGCAGAAAATACAGAGGATGGCGGGAAGGCATCCACCAAAGGCAGTCAATCAAAGCAGAAGAGTCATAAACGCCATGGGTATGTCGCTGAAACTTTTCTTGGTTTAAATAGCCAAGAGGTTATCTTTTACAAAGCTACTGTTACAAGATCTGCTTTAACCATAGCCAATCTTACTCAATGGTTATAAAAGCAGATCTTTTGTAGCTTAATTTAGTTTTCTCTTTGCCAAAATGTATTAGGTAGCCTAGTTCATGCATCTTGCATTTGTTTTTGAATTCATAGTTACGATGGAGCTTGTGCCTTCCTTCGCCCTCCAAAACTTGGGAATGGGATCAGTTTTTATTTGATAGTCATCATTTTCGTTTGCAGAAGGCACCACAAGAGTGATTGCATGTGTGCGGTATGTGTTCTGAAGCGACGTAAAAGAGAACGTGAGCGAGATTCTGGAGCACAAGAGGTTAGTAATTTGTTTTGTTTACATTACACACACGTCTATCTTGCGGTGTGCTCGTGTTTATGTGCAAAGAGAACCCAGGAATGTGTAAACTTTGTAACAGGTATTAACTTTAGTATCTCTTTCTTGAAGGAATCTTCACCTACAGGAAGTCCTTCTGTGGATAATTCATCAATAAACATGGGTGAGGAGCAGGATATGGATATTGGTGTTGACGACAAAACTGAACAAGAAAAAACAGAAATCGTGGAACTAGATAGTCCGGTGTCAAGAACACAAAGAGTGCCTGAAAATAATCAAGAGGTGGTGGAAGAGGAAAACGTTGAAGTGGAGAGTGAAAATAAAACCGAAGCTAATGTAGAGGACAAGACTCAATCGATTGATATATCAATGGAAGAGACTGGAGATGAGCCTGTGACTAGTGCTGCAGAGAAATCGGTTGTTTTAGCTTCCCTTGAAGGTCCAAAATCGACTCAGAATGAGGAAGAAGAGAAGGAAAAACAACTCCAAGAGCAAAAGGTATTTGCTTCTTTTCCCCACTCTCTTTTGCTATATACATCAGATAAAAATTGTCAGAAGCACGATTGCGGTAAATTGCGTTATTTCGTTATTGTAGAAACGGCAGGAGTTGGAGCGTAAAGAATGGCGAATAAAGATGCAAGAAAAGTTCCAAGTCAGAAACCCGCAGCTTCTAAGTCTCTGTGAAACTCTCTTCCCTAATGAAAACAACCACAATTCCGTATGGAACGGACCTCACTCGCTGTTTAAACGTAGAGGAGGTTCTTCAAATCATAGTAGTGCTTTACACAAAGCAGTTGAGTCACTGATGAAGTAGTAAGGATTCAAAATGTAACATAAGTGTTTAGCCTATCATTCTTCGTTTTGCCTGTTATACATACATATGTTTGTTACATTCAACACCAATATCCATAAGTATCTTTGTCATTGAAACCAGAACATAAAACCGTTCATGAATTTTCAGACGAATCAATTCCTAGTCAATCATTCACCTACATGTCTTTCAACTTCTGAAAACTGAAACTTTTTTCTCAATTCCGTTAGATAAACACTGTCGATCGAATATGTCGAGATTCTTTAGGCATTGATTTTATATCGATCTCACAAGTACAAAACAGTGTACATAATAGAGTGCAATCATACTAGTGGATTGCTATATTAGACTGTATATAAACTCCATAATTGATAGGCATACCATTTTTATTTCAGACTACAATGTGCATTTTTTTGCTAACATTTTTTAACATATGAACAAGACAATGCTAATTATAGATACCATGAGTTTAGTTGCTATATTTTCTTTATTGGTTTGTAAAGAAACCAAAGTTGCATGTCCCTCTCATTCTAACACCTTGCCATTTTGACTTTATTATTCTCTTCGTGTGTGTGAGATGTATAATGGGAAGTGTCTGTTAAGGGTTTGGAGGTTACAATAGACAAATTGGACTATTTCTTTGTGTGGACTAAGACCACTCTATTTTTAGAACCGACAATTATCTATTTCAGATTAGTAAAATTTTTAGGAGTATAAATTTTTATAATAAACATATAGAATCTATATATATAATGGGAGAGTTGTTTCTCCATCTAGGATGTTCACATCATCATCCAAGTCATCCTATTTTAATTTTATGTAGGCTCTACATATTTTATTTATTAGAACAAAAAACATTAAAACTATAATTAATTCACACATTTTGTAATTTATATTGTTATATTTCATTAAAAAAATAATAATTTACAATAGAATAAATTAAATATTAAAAAAATAAAAATAAATAAATTTATAACACACAATATGAAATTTTTGAATAGTGATTGGATAAACATAAAATTAGATAATTGTATGTTAACATAATGAGTAAATGTTCCTAAATGACTAGAGATATGAAAAAGAAACTTATCATATAGTTTAATGATAAAACAATCATTTTTAAGAGTTACGATTATTTAGTAGAATAAAGAAAAATAAGACTTAAAAATATATTAAAATTAAAGGTTGTAAAAATAAAAAGTAATTCATTTCTGAAAAATAAACATTTAAAATTAAAATATATATATATATATATATATATATATATATATATATATTTATATATTTTAAATGTTAAAGTATCAATTCATGGTATTGATTAAAAATAAGAAGGATTGAGTACATATTATTATTTATAATTATAATATAAATAGTAACATTAATAAAATTTTCTATATTAAAAGTGTTTTTTAAATTAAAAAGTGGTGGGTTTTTTAAAAAATCAAATGAATACCTAAAAAACGAAAAACTAAATATTAATCAGTGTTTATGTAATTTTAACGTAGATAAAAAAATTAAAGGTGATTTGAAATAAAACAAAAACTATCCTAAACATCACAAATAAAAATAAAATAATCCAATCGAATAAGAAACTGTGTAATAATAATATTTATGAATGCTATTTGGAAATTAGAATAGTAATGGTATATTGAAGAGTTTTTAATTAGATGTAAAAATTAAGGATTAAAAAATGTATTTTAAAATTAGAATGATTTATATGAGTTCGTAAGTTACGTTAAGAAAATCAATATTAAGAATACTATATAGAACAATAATATACGTCAAATTATATATGTGAATTTATTTTTTGTATTTTTCAAACGGTCAAGATAAAATACAAAATTTGATGTTGAAATCTGATGTTTGCGAATATGAATGAGTCCATGTATGAGATTTGTAGTCTATAAAGCAATTTTACATACACCAAACATGGTCAAAGAAACTATATGACAAATTTCTCCCGAGATTTCTAATGATCACTTTAATAAAAAAAAAAGAAATTGTTAAAAATATCCCTTTTTCAATACCCCTTTTCAAAATGCCCTCTTTGAAAATCCATTTTTAAGTTTGTCTTCTTTTAATTTTTAATGACCATTTTACCCGTATTTGAAACAAAATTAGGTCCACAAAATACAAAATATTTTTTGGCGGGAAAAGTGATCCCGCAATTTTCCCGCCAAAACACTTGTAAAAGCCTTTAAAATACCTTGTAAAATTTTCTCGTAAAAATTTTTCCCGCCAAAAAAGTTTCCCGCAAAAAATTTTTTTTGCGGGAAAAGTTATTCCGCAATTTTTTTGGCGGGAAAAGTTTTGGCGGGAAAAATTTACAAGGTATTTTAAAGGTTTTACGGAGTATTTATAAGTGTTTTGTAAAGATTTACAATGTATTTTAAAAAATTTTACAAGGTACTTATAAGGTTTTATAAGGTATTTATAACTTGTAAAACCTTATAACTTGTAAAACCTTATAAAATAGCTTGTAAAATCTTATAATATCTTATAAATACCTTATTAATACGTTGTAAAACCTTTTAAAATACATTGTAAAACCTTATAAATACCCTGTAAAAAACCTTTAAAATACTTTGTAAATTTTTCCCGCCAAAAATTTAACGCCAAAAAAATTGCGGAATCACTTTTTCCGCCAAAAAATATTTTGTATTTTGTGGACCTAATTTTGTTATATTTGCTTATATATTTGTGATATCTTTTATTAAAAGAAGGGTAATTTAGTCATTTTGTACATAAAAAGGGGTATTTTAAAAAATGGACAGCCAAAGGGGGCATTTTTGAAAAATGGTATTGAAAAATGGGCATTTTTGTGAGTCTCCCATAAAAAAATCATGCAACTTATAAAAAAAATATGAGTATTGAAAGATATGAATGAAAAAATATATACGATCTATCTTGATAACTAATTCATAGTCGAGCATATTATATGTGAGCCAATATAAGGTAAAAAACAGAGTAGATGTCGACGCGTGAATCATAGAAGATAACAATATAATGAAAATGAGTAAAGTAAAAAAATTTAAAATTCAAATAATTCAAAAAATTCAAAGATTCGCATTGATAAAAAATTCAAAAATTCGCATTGATAAAAAATTAAAAGATTCGTAAAGTAAATTTTCAAAATTCAAATAATTCAAAGATTCGCATTGATAAAAAATTTAAACTAAACCCCGCGCAACGCACGGGTACATAATCTAGTAGTAAAAATACAATATTTTTGCGAGGATCAGAATACTTGAATAAAAGAGAAACAAATAACTCTTATATATCTCATATAAAAAAATTTAAGTTCCTCCTAAACACAAGCTTTGATAAGCTGACATGTGATCCAATAAGTTATTTTATCAGTGGTAAGTAATAACCATATATAAAAAATTTAAATTACTATAAAATTATGATCATTTACCAGAAAAATAATTGAAAAGGGTATTATTGTAATAATTTACAAGAAAAATTACATAAAAATGTCTAATTGTTACTAGAAACAACGTATAAACACGAAGTCTTATTTATGTCTCTAATTAGTTAATATAGATTTTAATTAGAAAAAGCATAGTCCTAATCTTCTTCAGTCAGGCTTGAGAACGAACAAAATTCCGATGGATCGATGTTTGTTCCGTAGTAAAAAAGAGTCTCCATGTCGTGACCCGAATAATCCACTTTGGAGACGACATGGGTCCTCTGCCAAAACATAACGAAAATTAACAAAAAGAGGGAAAAGATTGAATCATTTCGTCGTCTATTCGGCTTGTTTTGTTAAAAGGTTTCAAATGACTAAATTTTATGTTTTTGTCATATTTTGAGCACAATTTAAGCATATTTTAAGCGAATTTTAAACATATTTTCACAGTTTTTTTTTTTTTTTTTTTTTTTTTTTTTTTTTTTTTTAATATTTTCACAGTTTCTTGTCCAATCCAGTCTAGTAGAGGTATAAAGATAAGTTATTGTGCGTACATAATTGGTAGACTCTAAACAACTTAAATTTTTACTGGCAAAAAAAAAAAAAAAAAAACAACTTAAATTTTTATTCACAACATTTATCATATACATGCATCCATTTTTTTTTTTACTTTTGCGACTGTTTCAGTTTTTTTTTTTTGTGGAAATTTGATAATGCAAAAAATGTTATTGGAAATACTTTTTTTATATGATATAGAAAATATTTTATGATTGGTACCAAACACATTTACTTGTAGAAAAACAAATCAAACCCTAACATAGTCAAGAACTCTGGAAATATTTTTTTACGTAACGAATCCTCGAGAACAACACATGTTGTTGTTGGTCGATGTCATATTTAATAAATTTATTACAAAACGAACAACACATGTTGTTGTTGGTTGATGTCGTTTGGCAAACGAATAGCCCAATAACAGTGAAATTTTCTATTTGAATATCAAGTAGCACGCGAGAACATGCAGACCGAAATTTTTTATTGAAGTTTGTGATTTTCATCTGCAACAAAACAATTTTTGTTCTCGAAAAATAACTAGTGAATAGAATTTAAATTTAACTGGTAAAAATTGTTTAGCCATTTATATTTTTAGTCATTTTTAAAATTATCTCTTTTTAAGGCTGTTGTCTCTGTTTTACCAATTTTTTAAATAAAATTTACGATGTGCAAAAAAAAAAGAATTCCCAAATCGTAAAAAATCAAAGCACCTACACCTAAATTAGGGTCCGTCTTGTAAAAACTAAAAACAAAGGGACGAATAAAATGCAATATTTAAGTTAAGAGGTAAAAGTATAAAAAGGTATTTAATATGGGCACTTTCTTAATTACTTAACATTCGTATTTCCCTCTCGCTCTCTCTGTCTTTCAACTTCTGAAAACTGAAACTTTTTTCTCAATTCCGTTAGATAGAGATTCGTCGACGATTTGGTTCCGATTAGGGTTTTGAAGTTCCGATTCGATTAGGGTTTTGAAATTCCGGTTCGATTAGGGTTCTTCTTCGTCAGAAATGGAAAGGGCGATGATTAGTTCGGCGAGTAGTGTACTCGCAATGCTCAACGAAACACATCCTTCACTGAAACTTCAAGCGCTCATAAATCTCAACAGATTTGTTCATCAATTTTGGCCAGAGATCTCCGCTAGCCTCCCAATCTTGTATTTTTTCTCCTTCTTTGGCGCTTTCTTGTTTCTCCTCCTTCGGAGAATTCCCGGAAAAATCTTAGTGATTTTGGGTATAAATTTTCGAAATGTTAGGTTAGGTATTACTACTATCTTTAGAGAGTTTCTTGTGTAGATTCGTTGTTATCTGAGTTTAAGGAGAGTTTTGTTTTTATGTCACACAAGAGTTCTTCCTGAATATGGTAACTATGCTTATGACTGTCCTTTTCTAAAACTACGAGCTTGAGATCTTAATTACATTGATGACTCATGGAACATTTTTGTTGTTGTTGTAGAGAGTGCTTATATAAAGATGAAAAGTTCAATCAGCATCTAAGACAGCTTGCTGCATTGCTTATCTCTAAGGTACATTTTTAGTGGAGCTTAAAAGCTTAAAAGTTTAGAGCTTGACGTTCTTCTAATCAAGTTATGTGATGATTTTATGAGATTTGTTTATTGATGATGATTGTTAACTCTTGTCTCAGGTTTTCTATTACTTGGGTGAGCTTAACAATTCATTGTCCTATGCCCTTGGAGCTGGATCTTTGTTTGCTGTGCTTGATGAATCTGATTACTTTAATACTCTTCTAGGTAAAGATTGTGAAGCCTGTTGCTATGTTCCTTTTTCCCGCAAATCTGATTACTTTAAGCTGCCACTGTAGTATGCATATAAGTCAAGACCATACCAACCTGATTCAGTGCAAGAATAAGCAAATAAGTAGGACCAAGAAGAAATGATGCAGAGACATGTTAAGATTGGACTGTTAATAAATATCTGATCAGATGCTTCTGTTTTTTTTTTCAGCCAAAGCAATAGATGAGTATGCTAGTCTCAGATGGAAGGCAATCGAGTTAAATGAGATGGTGGTGGACATTGACCACAGACTGGAGGCTATTGTTGAACAAATGTTGGAAAAGTATGGGATGCCATTTTTTTTTTATTTTTTTTTCTTGTCTTTTTAGTTGATCAGTCCTTACATGGTTACCTATTTGACAGATGTATCAGTGATGGAAAGTATCAACAAGCCATGGGCATTGCTATAGAATGCCGGAGATTGGATAAGTTGGAAGAAGCTATAACGAAGAGCAAAGATGTTCAGAAAAGTTTATCTTATTGCATCAATGTTTCTCACTCTTTTATTAACCGTAGAGAATATAGATTTGAGGTGAGTCTGGTGGCTACAGATCTGGATTTCAATAGCTGTAATATGTTCCTGATACTATTGGTTGATTACAATTCATCTTATTTTATCTCGCCTAGCAAATATTATGGTCATGTAGTCCCCATAATCCATATAGTATCTTCTCAAGCATTTTTAATTTGTTGTATCCTTTATGCCGTAACTCAAAGTATAACTTGTCGTGTTATAGACCTGAAATTCTTTCTAGGTGATTATTTAATCTTGATTCTTGCAGGTTCTTCGGTTACTTGTTAATGTCTACCAGAAGCTGACTTGTCCTGATTATTTGAGCATTTGCCAGTGCCTTATGTTCTTGGATGAACCGCAAGGTGTTGCAAGCATATTGGAGAAACTTCTTCGTTCGGAGGACAAGGATGATGCTTTACTGGCGTTGCAAATTGCTTTTGATCTTGTAGAGAACGAGCACCAGGCATTTCTCATGAGTGTTAGAGACAGCCTTCCAATGACCCTTCCTGTAGTAGCAGTTCAAGCTGCTGAAACCTCTACCGGTCAGAGGGAGAACACTGTCGGGGATGTCCAGTTGACAGATGAAACAGATCCTGCGGATGCTATGTACGTACTCTCAGAGGTTAACAAAGGTTAAGGGAATTTTATCTGGAGAGACATCAATACAGCTGACCCTCCAGTTTCTTTACACACATGATAAGTGAGGCAGTGAATTTCCCTTTTAGATTTTGATATCTTGATAGGATATTCTTTTTCTTAAGTCATTTCTTCCAGAGAGTAACATGCGGAAGCGATGGCCATTGGTTGTCTGTAGATCAGGCCATTTGATCCTGGAGACAAATGAACAGTCTGTTGGATCGTGGTACAGTCAATTGGCTATAATATATGCCAATGCGATAAATCATGCTGGAACAGCAAGGGACGCATTTTACAAGGAGAATTTGGTAAAAATTATTACTTCCCCTAGCACATTTTTACTTGTTTCAACGTTTATGGTGCGGCATAGTATATAATCTTCTTTCTTTTCCATTCATTTGTGGATTGGTAGGTTACGGCCACCAATTGGGCTAAGTTTAGTGCTATAGCGGGATTAGGTGTTATTCATAGAGGTCATCTACAACAAAGTAGGTCATTGATGGCCCCATAGTTGCCTCAAGGCGGAGCAAGTGGTGGCGGGAGTTCTTATTCTGAAGGTGGTGCTTTATATGCCCTTGGCATTATTCATGCCAGCCTTGGCGAGGGAATTAGGCACTTTCTTCGTGATAACCTACGTAGTACGAGTGTTGAGGTGACTTGTCTATATCTCAGTTCAAGATGGTCTTTTGGTATATCACCAGAAAAGATAGTATTTTGCGTAGAGGATTAATTCTTATTTGGAAGTATATGGCTGCAGGTTATTAAGCATGGAGCTTGTTTAGGTCTTGGTTTGGCATTTCTTGGGACAGCTGATGAATACATATATGATGATATCAAAAGCGTGCTCTACACTGCAGTGCAGTTGCTGGTGAAGCTGCAGGCATCAGCTTGGGTCTATTATTTGTTGGAACTGCAACCGATAAGGCAAATGAGATGCTCGCTTATGCTCACAAGACTCAGCATGCGAAAATAATAAGGTAATTTAGGGTAGTCTGGGGATATTTTTGGTTATGTGAGTGGCTGCATGCTAAGTTTTTTAAAGTGTTTCAAAACTAAATGTTGGTATGCGTTTTTAGGGGACTGGCTCTAGGAATAGCTCTCACAGTATATGTAGAGAAGAGGGAGCAGATACTTTGATTGAGCGGATGACTAGAGATCTGGATCCTATAATTCGTTATGGTGGAATGTATGCACTGGCATTGGCTTACAGAGGAACCGCAAACAGCAAAGCCATCCGCCAACTTCTGCACTTTGCTGTCTCTGATGTCAGTGACGATGTCAGGAGGACTGCTGTTCTTGCACTTGGATTTGTCTTATACTCTGATCCAGAGCAGGTCACTTCATATTCTCTTTGTCTCAATAAAATTTTGACTCTATATTCCATTTCTCTCGTGCCTTTAGGGCTCTTGTTTTCACATTCACGCATAACGGGTTGCCTGAATGTTTTAACTGTAGACTCCCTGTGTTGTTTCCCTGCTTTCCCAGTCATACAATCCGCATGTCCGCTATGGCGCGGCTCTTGCCGTAGGCATCTCCTGTGCAGGCACTGGCCTGAGTGAGGCTATATCCTTGCTGGAGCCACTTACATCAGATGTGGTTGACTTTGTTCGACAAGGTGCTCTGATTGCCATGGCGATGGTGATGGTCCAAATTAGTGAAGCAAGCGAATCTCGCGTTGGAGCGTTTAGGTTAGTGAGCCCTGATATCTTCAACGATAAAAGTCAGAGAAAAGTCTCTTTCTGAATTTTTTAAGCCTACTATCTCTGGTATACTAAGTTTAACCTATGTTTTGTAACCTTTTTATATTCTGAGAGTAATATCTCTGGTAGACTACAATTTGACCTCTGTTTTTGCAGGCGCCAACTTGAGAAGATAATACTCGACAAGCGTGCAGATGAAATAAGCAAGATGGGAGCAATTTTGGCTTCAGGTATTCTTGATGCTGGCAGAAGGAATGTGACAATACGACTTCTCTCTAAGACAAAACATGACAAAGTTACTGCGGTCATTGGCCTTGCTGTCTTCAGCCAGTCTTGGTATTGGCACCCGCTGATTTACTTCATCAGCTTGGCGTTTTCACCGACCGCGTTTATTGGTTTGAACTATGATCTCAAATTCCCAAAGTTTGAATTCATGTCGCATGCAAAACCATCTTTGTTTGAGTATCCAAAACCAACTTCGGTTGTTACTGCCTACTCGGCCGCCAAATTACCAACTGCTGTGCTCTCAACCTCAGCAAAAGCCATTAAATCTAGGGATAAGAACGAAGCAGGGCAGAAAGTTATCGCTCAAAAAGCAGCCAGTGCCGCAACGTCTTGCAATGACAGTGGAGACACTATGCTGGTATTACACAATCAAATTATTAACAACGTCTAAAAGTCAATGCATCATCGCCAAGATGCTCTGATCTTTTTGTTATGAATTCTTTCCATCTTGAGTCTTGAGCATATTTGGACCATTAAATTTGATTCTCTATGTCCTTTCAGGTCGATAGCACAGCAATACTGGAGAAGAAGGCTGAGCCACAAGCAATGTTTGAGATTCTAGCTAACCCCGCACGGGTACTCCCTGCACAGGAGAAATACATAAAGATGATAGAGAGCGGCAGATACGTACCGATGAAGCAAGCTTTATCAGGGTTCGTCCTTCTCAAGGACTTGCATCCGCCGTATCCCAAGGTTCTCTCTATGACCACCGACACACCTACTTCAACGGCTGCCTAGCAAGGAACCACGCCGGTCTGAATACACATCATGGTTTTGTTATGGTTAGAGGGTAATTGTTGGTTTTTTTGGTTGACTTGGAACAGTTTGGAGATGTGGAATTTACTACAGTTCAAGATGGCGGAGGTTAGATACTTGACAGTGATAGAACACTTCTGAGCATGCTGCCTAAATCTCAAAGTGTATTAGTGACTACTTATAGTAGATTACATCTAGTAATCACGGTCCTTTTTGTTATCTAAGGCCTCAATTTCAGAGAGGTTTGTTCCGTACCAAAACTTGGTAAGGTCACTTGTTGTCATTTCTCATCGGATGGGAAATTCTTGGCGAGCGCTGGGCATGATAGGAAGGTACATCATCTTATGTTAATCCCTGGAAAAGGAACATATATTTTTCTTTCATTTGTTTATAAACTCGCAATGACCATAACGACTAAAGATCATCTAGGTAATTATGATCGTGTTTATTAAAAAGCAGATAAATTGAATGTTTATTTCATATGTCGCTAGGTGTTCATCTGGAACATGGAAACAGGACACGCTGAAACCGCTTCTGAAGAACATGCTAATATCATCACGGATGTTCGTTTCAGATCTAATTCAACTCTACTGGCACATCATCATTCGACAAACCTGTAAAAATCTGGGACGCTGTTGCGGTAAAATTTCTGTGCCTTGTAACTTATTTCGCTTTCAGTGTTCTGTTTAGACTAATTGCAATGAATCTGTGCAGCCTGGTTACTACTGCCTAGGAACAATGGATGATCATACAGCTCCTGTGATGTCCCTTGACTTTCACCCTAAGAAAACCGAGATGATTTGCTCTAATGATAGCAGCGGTGTAATCCGCTACTGGAACATGGATACATTTTCTTCTCTTGATACTTTGGAGGCAAGCTTCACAACTTTAACTTACCGTTCTCCTCCTTTGAACTCCGTTTTCGAATCTTTAGACTTTCCAAGCAGGTGGAAGAAGGGTGCAAGCAGGTCCGGTTCCAGCCACAAGATGGAAAATATCTTGCTGCAGCTATACAAAACTTTGTGTTAATCGTGGATGTTGAAACTCATACACGGATTATCACGTTAGAGGTAGAAGATTTATTGATTGAAAGTTTTTTCAGTATTAGAAAGAGATTCACAGTACGGTTAATATCTTCCTAGTCCTGATGTGTTTTATGGTTTGATGACTGATGTCACCAGTGTTCCATCTATGAAATGTCTTGTTGATTTTGATAGGGATTTCGCACCAATTAATGTACTATCTGTTTCCTGGGACACAACTGGGAAGTATTTAGCATCTGTTACCGATGACTCTGTAAGCGTGTGGACATTAGCAGAAAACAAATTCCACGAGCTAAGTTCCGTTGGTGAAAACAGGTTCCACTCTTGTGTTTTTCACCCGAGCAATCCCGCAATCTTGATCATCGGTTGCTACAAGGTAAACTACTCTCGGTTTACAAGATTTATCGCATTATGTATCTGATAGAATCATCTGTGAACTCTTTGTGTCTAACTTTGGTAACAAATCTAATGACAGTCTTTGAAGCTATGGCACTGGGTTGATAAAAAATTCATCTATTTACCGGCTCACGAAGGTCTCATCTCAGCTCTGGCGGACTCGCCTTCAAGGGGAATTATTGCGTCTGGTAGCTACGATGAGTCCATAAAGATTTGGAAGTCAGTCAATCTAATTTGACAAGGTTCTTTAGGCACTGATTTTTATATTTGATCTTACCAGTAAAAAAAGATGTACATAATAGAGTACAAACATATTACTAATGTATTTCTATATTAGAGACTGTATATAGAATCCGTAAATGATAGGCATACCATTTTTATTTGTCAATGTTTAAACTTTCCACACAAGACAAATCATATGTACCATGAATTTCTTCTATATTTAAAATTTTAGAGAGTAACAAATTTAGTAGCCCACAATTCCTCTCATCAAAATTTTTTTATCTCACATCGGTTGCTTTATCTGTTTTTTTATATCTCACATGAATTTTTATGTAAATGAAAAAAAACCAACGTTGCATGTTGACATGTTGTTTTGATTTTAACACCTTGCACTTTCTTTAACTCGTGAATTATTCATTCTTTTGAAACTTGTTTGAGAAAATCTAGGTTGCATGAAACAGAAACAAAAACATGGAACCAAAACGCGTAGAAACGAATTTTTAAAAGAATTACTAAATAGAAACGTTTAGGCACCTTGTTGAGGATTCTCCAAAGCCTTGATCAGATACATAGTGACATTCATCAACCGGTTTGTTTTAGTTAATATATTTAGTTCACATGCACATGTATATTTATTTCCATAAATTTACAAGAAAATTTTATTGTTTTATGTGGAAAGATGACCATAATTAATACCTTTTAAATGGAATGCTCTTGAAAAACGAATACAACCAAATTAAGAATCGTTCTTTATGGATAATCAAACCTAACTTCTCGGAATTATAGCTTCACATCCCATTGAACTCCGTAGATTGATCTCAAAATTAAACTTATTTTATCGATTACATATCTATACTAGTATTTTTGAAGTACATTTTGTACTTGTATCGGGTCAAAACTTATCCGAAATTATGAACCGGATATCTATACTAATTCTAGGAAACATTTAAATTTTTTTAAACTTTTAGACTTTTAAACTTTTAAATTTTTTTAAATATTATAATTGGTATATTTAAAATCATTTAAAAGTTTATAATATTATGAACATTTGAACATATAAAAAATAAAATAACACAAGACGGGTTATATTGCGGGACGAGGTTATATGGCGAGATGGGTTTGAGTTAATATTAACAAAAAATTAAAATATCATTAATATGCCGCTTCAATACGGATTAAATCCTCATTTTATTATTTTTTAATACCACCAATATTAGACATATCGAATTAGCCTGATTTAGATAAGATTGTATAAACAAAAATAGTATGTGGTATACCGTTGCTTAATAACAATTATAAATAATATAATATAAATATTTTATAAAATGATATAATTTACAAAATTTTATATATAATACATAATCATTAAAGTTTTTTAAAAAAAAACAAATCGTCATGTGATGTACCACGGGTTAAAATCTTGTTAGTATATGTAAAGGTTAGTTTGTGTATAATAAGTATATGACATTAATTTGTGATGATCAAAGAGGAAAAGAAAACAAATGCTAGTAATTATTATCACATCATATTACAAGCAAAACAAGCAAAGTTAATTAATACTCTGTTGTAAAAGTAACTTTAATTATATTTATCAATCATTATATTCATAGAGAAATTTTTTAAAAATTTTAATCGTTAGAGCTTGGTGTTTCAGTCTTTATATTTCAATGAAATTTTCTTAATCTAAAAACAAATAAGCTTTAGTTTAATTATATTTTTCAGGCATAGAAAAAACAAATTTAAACTATTATGACCGTCGTATTATCATAGTTAGTTAAATTTACAAAAAAAAAACAAGTATTATGATAGTTGATCGGTAAGGTTTTATTTATATATCAGTTAATTGACCTATATTAAACAAACTATAACACCCGTCCCGCCACAAAAGATGGGACTATATGTTATTCATCCAGTCTTGCCAAAACGTTTCTTTCTTTAAAATTCACCAACGAACAAACTTCAACCGTCAACTTTTGAAACTTACTAACCTGGAGAAAAAGGGGAAAAGAGGTGAGTAAAAGAAGTTTACTCAGTGAGGAGATCAACTCTGCCCACTGGGACGCACAATAAACACGTTCCAAATAGAATCGACAACCATTACTTAGTATAGATTCAGAATGTCTATCAATCGAACAAACAAGCATTCGCCTTTTTCACAATAAGATATTTTACTTTCATTTTTAGTTTTAAGTATTTTAACTTTGGCTACTCAAGCCTATTAACTTTGGCTACTCAAGCCTATTTATGGAAGACCACGGCCCGTTAGCTTGATCCTTCCTCTTATTGCTCGTCACCGGTTAATGACATGTATATGAATCCGTCGGTCCATTACAGTCCAACATCCTCAAGTATCTTTCTCATACTCTTTAGTTTTCTCTTTTCATACACGCAATCATTTTTATAATTTAATATATATATATATATATATACACTACAAGAAATATCAACATTGATAGCACAAGAAGATAGCTCATTTTCCGTCACTGCTATAAAAGATGAATGTTTTATTTTGATTACTATATAATAGCATTGAAATAACGCTAAGATAAAAAAATTACTAAACGAAAAGCTAAAATCATTTATTATGCCAATACTTCTAGGAAAAAATCCACTTTAAGAGTTATATATATCAGATCTAAAAAATTTTAGTGCCATCATATATACCAAAGCCAAAAAAAAATTACCCATAGACTCCACGACAAAAAAACCTAGATCTCTTCCAATCCGCCATAGACTCCACGAAACTCTTCGCCAGCCTCATTTTGCCTCCATTCGTTCATCTTTCCTCCAGTCTCAGGTGATTCGTCACCATCCTGAAGAATCGTCTCCTCTCATCTCTAAACCCTAGCCGCCGATGTCGTCGCTGATTCTCCTCGTCGTATATGTCTCTTGTTAATTTTGTTTACTCGTCATCCCCTTACCTCGGAAAAAGTTAGGGTTACGGATCCGAATTAGCAACCATGGAAGAGATCACCGATGGAGTGAACAACATGAACTTGGCCGTTGATTCCCAGAAGTAAAATCGGATTCAGGTTTCAAACACCAAGAAACCATTGTTCTTTTACGTCAATCTCACAAAGGTACATAGTTTAATTCGATTGATATGTGACTCGTATTCTAAGCTTTCAAATTTCTGGACTTGAACAATCTCTTTCGATCGAGAGGATCTATAGGCAAATGGCTTGTATTCTAGTTCATCTGCTCATCGTGATTCTCTAGTTCTGTAGCGGAAATGATTGTTTCTTCAATTGCAGCATAAAAAAATCAGCTTTAATCATGGTCTCTAGCTTAACTTTTCCTAGTATAGATTTTGATTTACATTTGGTCAAGCACAAGGATGTTGCTTTGTCTTCCTCTATGCTTTCTCGTTAGCTGAAATCTAGGTTGCATTGGTTTGACCAATTGCTTTGTTTTGAGTTTGGACAACGCAAAACTTGAAAGTTAGAATCATCTCTAAGGGGATGCTTAGTTATTTAGATCGAGTTACATCTATAACCTATATAGCTTATTGTAGTGTTCTTGATTAAGTCTTTGTTACTTTAGAATTTCCTAAAGACAATTGTTTTTAAATTTGACCTCAATGTTTTTAGTGGAACACTTGTGATTTTGCAGAATTGATTGATAATTTATGTTTTGTTGTAAATCTATGGTTTCCAATAGACATTGAGAAATGACTATATGCAAACCGTATTTTCTTATTGTAAGTTTAACTAAAGATACAATTGATTCTTGATGCTATATTTTGGTTTCTGCTTTAGTATCTCCCACATTTATCACCCCAAATTTATTTTCAAGAGAGAAAGATTGTACCCACTATATGCAAACAAGAACAAGTAAATTTGGAGATAGCTGCAAGTTTGATCATCCTATTTTAGCTTATTCTCATGGTGTGTTGGTTTCGGAATTAGGTGTTTGTGGTTATTACTTGTGTCTAGGATGATTGATGTAACTGAGTTTTTGTTGATTGGATTTGTTTAGAGGTATATGCAGCAGTACAATGATGTCGAACTTCCTGCCTTTGGAATGGGTATGTATTTTCTTAATCTCCCTTTTTTTTATTCCTCGGTATATATTCTAATGGGACTGTAATGTGTATTTATTGCAGTATAATCTGATTCTTAACTTCATTAAGCTAATTTTTTCAGAATAAATTGTTTGTTGGTGATACTTACTAAGATACTTACTCTTCCCATCTGCAAATCAACCTTCTTCTCGATTTATTAATTTGGTTTTTGGTTTTGCAGAATAAATAGTTTAGGAGAAGGAGCTTGCATGTGGTTGTAGGAGCTTAAGTGGTAAGACGTTTTTTCAAGTTTTAAACTCCATATTACCTTAATTCTAAGGCTATCATGATTATGTCCAAGCTAACCAAGTACGTAGTATACATATGTGTATGTTTGGTAGATGTATTCCCATGTGTCGATTTCTTTTTTCATCTTAGTGAATAAGGCTTCTAAGATGGTGTCTTTTGTCCCCTTGTTCTTTTGTTTCATGTAGCCTATCGACGGGAGTGCTAATAGGAACAATTGTTCAAATCAAAGTTTTATGCGTTCTCCTTTTGATGAGGCGAAATAGATAGAGGAGAAGAAATTGAAGAGATCGAAGTTTGTCTCTGTCCATATGATGTTAGTTCTATTTTGTTTAAGACTTATAATGATAGTATAAGATTTGATATGATGTTATGTAAGACTTGTTTGGCTAATTGGTTAATGTAATATTACTTGTTGATGATTTATAAAATATAAAAGTTATATATAATATGACGTGTTTGTCAAATTAAGTAAATTTTACAAAATTGGGTTCCAATATAAAATTTATTTATATAACGAAAAAAATGTTCCGACATTATATAAAACAGCACTAAACGTGTGTTATAATAAAGTATATTATAGCATTTGAATAATGCTATAATATGAAAATGCTATCGTATGTGGGGGTCTATTATAGCATGTTAAAAACGTCATCGTATATGGAGGGTCTACCATAACAGGGGCATAAGACAGCATTTATGAAAACGCTATTGATGACATATAATAGCTTTTTTCTCTTGCTAACAATGTAGATATTTCTTGTAGTGATATATACGTTAAAACATGTTACTAAATCATGTCACTTATGCATTTCACATATCATATTACTAGCAACCTAACTATATCATACACACAAATCAACGAATACAATTCTGGAGCCTATACTCAGCAACTAACAAAGAGTATATAAGAAAAGAGGTTACTGCATATCCGCAAATACCACCCTCACCTTAGCCTATCGGTTGAATTCCTTGGTTTAAGACTAGCAACAACAACAACTTGCTTCAACGACGATCTCTATCTGTAACGGTTTAAATTAACCGATTAAAGATTAAATCCACTTAATAATCTCTGATTTAATCTAATAATCCAACCAAATTCTTAAGTCTCAGTTTAATTGATTTTTGGTGTTTCCTCAATTAAAACAATTAGATCAAAATCTAATCATTTAATTCACCATAATATTCTAATTCATGATCACATTAATTTGGCTCCATAAACAAATTTCCTTTTAACCATACGAACACATAATTGAGTTTGGTTTAATAATCAATACCAAACTCCACTAATCGCGCACACCACAATTCTCACACGTGATCATGTTACCGGGTTCAGTTCAATAAACAATCCAATAATACATCCAAGACATTTCTCGGATTCTAAAATTGGATAAGACTTAAGTTTCCTTGGTTTAGATTGGTTAGGCTTCGGTTTAATAATGAAAACAACATAACAGCAACAGACACGAGAGCTAGGCTTCGCCGTTTACCTTCAGCAGCATTTACACTCGACCGTTCATGACGGCCCGACTCGATGAATCAGTTCAAGCTTACGTGGTTACGTCCTCATGAACAAAGGCAGAACCTTCCTACGCAAGTTACATATTAGATCTAGGATTTCCTTACCCTTATCGGTCTTGCCGATGGACTACGACTGCTCCGGTGACAGTGGCTGACATCCTGTGACTCATGGTGCCAATCCCCAGGGACACACAGTGGCTGTGGTGGTTGTCCGGTGAAGTTACGGTCACCTTCTCTCTCTTCTTCCTATTCTATCCACTTTCTGATGACGAGATCACCGCTTCCTCCATCACTTCCCCCACGTGAGACATCACTTCTCTCCATGAAACTCACGACAACAACAATACGAGAGGATAACAGCTTGGATAACTTAGCAACGGCGTCAGCAATCCCACTCTTAAAGACTTAGGGTTTGCTTGTTCAACTTTCTTTATTTTGTCCAAAGATGGAGACGGCCAAATGTATACACGAGCCACACACGCCAAACATAAACCCTTGTCGTTTAGAAATTGGGCTTTAATGGGCTGAAATTTAAAATGGCCCAATTGGGATGCTACACCAATTGGGATGCTACACCAATTTCTACACCAGAAATTTATTAAACTAGAAATGAAAAAATTACAACGGAGTTATCCTTGGTCGAGTAGACCCAAGTGCATCTTCCCTTACAATCGAAACAACCTCCGTAGGAGTAGAACCGAAAAAATGAAAGCCTAGTGGCAACGTAAAAGCATGGTTAGCCAACCCATCAGCAAGACAATTGGTCTCCCTATATACATGATCAATCTTGACCGTCCAGTCCTTTGATATAAAGCAATGGCACAAGCGTACCAGGAACGACAGCGGATGCGACTCTCGAATCCCTGTCTTAAGAAAGCCCACAACCAGCTCAGAATCCACCTCCAAAATCACATGCGGCACCCGCCTCTCCCAGGCGATATACAGTCCATAATAGACTCCCCATAACTCTGCCAAAGGTGCAGAACACTTACCAAGGTTGACCGCAAAACCTCCACACCAGTTCCCGTCACCATCCCTTAGAACTCCACCTGCCGCTGCGAAGCCCGGGTTCCCCTTTGAAGCCCCATCCGTATTCAGCTTCATCCAGTCACCCGTAGGAGGCACCCAACCAATCCTCCTTTCCACACGACCACGCCGTCCTACCAACTCTTCCCGAGAAACATGGGCCATATTCACTTCTTTAGCAAGCTCTCTAACAAAGCGAACCCTATCCCGGCACTTCCCATTCTCTCCAAAGATATTTCCGCATCGCCATTTCCACCCCCACCAAATGGCCATCGCAAACATAGTAGCCCATGAGATATCATCTACAAGTACTCCATCACACAAGTTCTCGTACATCCATTCCAATAAAGACTTGTTAAAAAACTCATGCCTTCGCCGAACAGGTACAATTCTGGTCCAAATGCCCGCCATGGCCGGACAATCTCGAAGAATATGTATGATGGTCTCTACTCCTCCTTTACAAACCTGACAAATATTGGAATCACATAGGTGTCTCCGGTGTCTCTCCTCATTGGTCATTATTGCTTGATTCCCCAACAACCATAGGAACACTCTAACTCTTTCAGGCGCCGTAACTCTCCATACACGACGATAAAAGGCACTCATATTAGGTCGTAGAGCCTGGTCACGAGTGATTAACGCATACGCAGACTGCACCGTGAATTCGCCATTCTGGTTTACTCCCCACGAAATGCGATCCTTCGCCCCTGTCACACTATCAATCACAATCGTCGCCAATTCCAATCTTACGTTCTGTGATACATGCGGAACAATCTTTTCCAACATCCAGCCAGACCCATGGCGCCATAGATCCTTTGCGATCAGTGACTCATAATTCTCCGGCATCTCTCCACTCACTGACTCTAACAAAGGACGATGTGAGGCCCATTTATCAACCCATAATTTTAACGTGCTCCCATCCCCGATAACCCAGCTAAGTCCCGGGAATACAACCTCCCGCAGCCCTACACCAACACTCCTCCATGTTGATGACCATGTACTTTTAACCCTCCTCCAATTCTGGTCATGCGGCTCCCCTACTCTATACTTGCTCCGCAAAACCCTAGCTCATAGACTCCTCTTGTCATTAAGCAATCGCCACCCCACCTTAGCAATTAAAGCTTTATTCATATCCTTTGCAGCACGGATACCCAGCCCGCCCTCACCCTTTGGTAAACAAACCTTCTGCCAACCAACTAGATGCTGCTTTCGTTTCTCCGGAGTGCTTCCCCACAAGAAAGATCGTGCCACTTTATCCAAAGTAGCGAGAGTAGAAGCTGGGAAAAAAATGGTGCTCATTGAATGTACCGGGATAGAGGACAGAACCGGTTTGGTGAGAGTGAGACGTCCTGCAAAGCTTAACATTCTACTCTTCCAACCCGCCAATCTCGAAGACATTCTCTCAAGTATTTCTCCAAAAGTTTCCTTATTCATGCGCTTCTGGAGAACCGGCATACCAAGATACTTACCCAATTCACGCGTCGACTTGATTCCGCTCTCATCACTAATCAAGTTCTCGAGTTCACGGGATACATTCTTTGAGAAGAAGATTTTTGACTTCTCCAAGCTCACCTTCTGTCCCGATGCAACACAGAATCTCTCTAGAACCCCTCTTATTACCCGGATTTGAGATACTGAAGCTTCCGCAAACAAGATTAAGTCGTCCGCAAAGCAAATATGTGAGAGTTTCGGTCCACCTTGAGATAAGCTTATCGGTTTCCATTTCTTCCCGACAACCACTAAGTCTATCAAATGGCATAGTCTCTCCATACACAAGACAAACAGATATGCGGAAATCGGATCACCCTGCCGAAGACCCCGTGATGGCTGAAAAGCCTCTGTCTTCTCACCGTTCTAAAGAAGGCTCATCGACGGTCCTGCCACACACTGCATTATCCAATTTATCCAAGTGGCTGATAAACCCGCTGCTCTCAACGTATCCTCCAAGAAATCCCAACGAATTCTATCATACGCTTTCTCGAGATCTAACTTCAACAGCATCCAGCCTTTTCGACCTTTTTTTCGACGCATGGAGTGAACCGCCTCTTGCACAATCACAATATTGTCCATGCTAAGTCTCCCTGGAATAAAGCTTGACTGGGCAGGGCCAATGAGTTTGCACATTACTGGCTTCAAGCGTTCAACCATGACTTTCGTGATCATCTTGAATAAAACGTTATACTAGCTAATTGGTCGAAACTAAGTTATCTTCTCCGGATTCACCACCTTCGCAATAACAACAACAAGCGCATCATTTGTATCTTGGGGAAGCTGTCCTGTAACAAAAAAACTCCAAAACAAACTTCACCACCGACTCGCCAATCACCTCCCAGCAGTGTTGGAAAAACACTGTTTGGTACCCATCCGGTCCAGGGGATTTAAACTTCCCCATTGACCTAACCGCCTTCTCCACATCTGACGCATTAAAAGGCTTCCCAAAGTAGTTCTGATCGTCATTACTAATCTGTACAAAACCTCCCTGCAGCAATTGCTCAACCACTGCCTCAATGTCATCCATAGAGTACAGTCTCCGATAGTATCCTATAGCAAGCTGCGCCAACTCCTTAGCCTCTGAGATCCAAATACCATCATCATTTTTCAACATTTCTATGCGATTCCTTCTCCTCCAAATCACAGTAGAAGTGTGAAAAAAGCTTGTATTTCTGTCTCCCAGCTCAAACCACTTTTCTCTTGACTTTTGGAGCCAGATCAGCTCCTCCTGCTCCAAGACTGAATCAAACTCCTTGAGTAGAAGCTCTTCTTTTTCCAATAAAGCATCAGTTGGAGTCACCTCAAGACTATCTTGGACTATTTTGATTTCAACCAATAATTTTTCCTTACGCTTCATTACATCTCCAAAGACCTCTCTATTCCATCTTCGCAGTGTATCTTTAAGACACAC